ACAAAGGAAAGATACTTTTCGAAGAGAATTTTCAAGAAAATATATCTTATTTATTAGAAAAAGACAGAAATTTGTATCGAAAGATAGAAAAATCACTTCTTTTTCAGATCAATCGTACAAGAGTAATTCATGGTATTATATCGTTCTTCTGGAATACACCATAAAATCGTTGGTGAGTCATTTAATGATGAAATTTATTGGAAATATAAACGTACGTAATTGATAAGAAGACGTAATTGAAGATAAGCAAAAGTTTCTTGAAAGAGATCTATTGTAAAACAGATCGTCACCTTTCCAAGTTTATCGTTTTGGTGTACACGTAAGCGTTCGTAAAGTATAATATTTTGGTAGACCGTATAGGCCATGACTCACTCCAGAGAAACACTCTCGTGCCAGCCGTTTTGTCGTGGTCCATTTCTAAAGGTACGTTCGCACCAAGAGAACTGCCGTAAGGAATCGATAGTCGATTGAATTAAGTCCAAGATAGTGAACTTAAACTTTCGACCTTTAACTCGGATGTAAAAATAGTATTTTTCTGTCATGACTTGATTAGAAGGAGATCTTTTAGAAAATTTATAGACGATTTAAAAGATAAATTTTAGTTTCGGACGATTGTGAGAGAAGCTTAAGGAGGCGCCGAAGCTGACAGCTGCGGTGAATAGGCCACATGGCGCTCTTTGCTCTCGCATCGAGAGATGCAGGGAGGCCTATCGATTTTATCGCGTCGTTTCGCTAACGAATGGACGGTCCGTTGATTAGAGGGCACGGCCGTTTTATCGGCCGATAGTTATTGACTAGTCTTCCTCTCTCCCTTTTCTTCCTTTCCCTCCCTTGAGCGATCGAGAGGGAAAAGATTCGATCGTATTCTCGTTGAAATCGTTTTCTTAGATCTTACGAGCGTTCTCCTTGCAGCGCATTATTATTTTAATCGCCCAACGATCGCCAACACAGCGTCGTTGACTCTTTTTTTACTAGACACATTCAGACGCCAGTTCCATCGGGATCCATTCATTTTTTTCCTACGAAAATCTACGAAGCGGAAAGGCATGCCGAGTGCAAGAACCGATCTATGAGCTGAACATCTATCGCTCTTCTTTCTATCCGTGAAGAAGCATCATTTTTCTATCATCTTTTTTTATTCGTTGATATTTTCTAAAAACGTATATCGTGCATTAAATTCTTTTTCAATTAATTCAGATATAATTCATTTATATATATACAGATGAAATTTCAGTTATTCGTATTAATTTAAGGATTAGATGCGTTTATTTTTCGTGCAATAGAAAGAATAGAAAATTATGCGTCTCTGGATTGCATCCGCGGATGAAAATAATGTTTTCAAGGTAATATTTTTCGATTTACAAAAGCTCAGTCGACTCTTTTCAAAGTCTCTTTCGATTCGACACCGTTTATGAGAACGAGCATCTGTGTCGCTTCGTCGGAGTCATTCTAAATATTTAGAGAAAGTCTTTGCACCGGCTCATCTCTCATAAACCACGTTGACAACGATGACGACGAGCGCGACGACGAGGTTTCATACTATTTCATGGAAATACGAAAGCTTCCCCTTGATTCTTTATTTCAAAAAGATTCGTCTTCTTTTCGTCGACACTCTTTACCAGTCGAAAACTATTTTCGGGGATATACATACACACGTATATCTACGAATATGCGTATAACACGTATACGTATATACGTATATATATGTATATGCGTATCTTTATCGAGCCAACACGCCCTTAAACTTCGATCGTTTAAACTGGTATATGACATCAGATATTGAACAATAGAATCATTTTGAAATTTCTATGTGAAATATGTGTTGATTCCGTTAATATGATCTAGAATTGCATTATATATATTTTTCGATTAATATGAAATTAATCGATCGATTGATTTGGATTAACATCGGAAGTAATTGCTCTAATCTCTTAATCTTATTTCCGAACGAATATATCGTTTAAATCATTTTGATGCGGAGTGATGATAAGAAATTATGTTCATATGTAATATTTAGGGGAATAATTTATCTAATCTCGATATTATTTCTATAAAAATAGATTTGCAACTGTAGATTATAGATAAAAAAGAAATATCTTGTCGTAATATACTACTTCCGGAATGGAACAGGAAACAACGCGAATGCCTTCTTATCCCCATTGAATTTTATTATCGCTCGAAGAGTCTCTGCTTGCGGTTGCTAATCCGTAAAATCGATAAAGTGTGACGCTCGATAGCTGTCATTTGCTATATCCCTGAGGTCATTCGATTTGTGTAAATTCTAATACAGGTCATGTTCTTTTTATCGTCACCAGAAAATCTTTTTCTTCATATCTCATTCATCATTTCAATTTTTTAATTTTCATTAATGATTTTGTTCTCGTAAAAAATATAATTATTTCTTCAAAACTGAGACATAACTGTCGGATGTATGTATATCTACACTACATCGTCGTGCTAATTAATAATAATAATAATAATAATAATAATAATAATAATAATAATAATAATAATAATATATATATATATATATATATATATATATATATATATATATAATGTACATTTTGTCATCGTGTTAACTCGAATCTCATCGCGAAGAGCGAGCAACGGTGATGTTACATACATACATAAATACATATATACGTTCGATTCTAGATGTACAGTTAGGTATGCACTTGATGCGTTACGTTTCAACGGCTATCTCATTGGCGCATTATCGCGCACGATTCTATTATATTATTACACCTATCCTATCTGGTGAACGTGAACGAGAAGATTACGTAGACGAAGGAAAGAAGCAAAATATTTCTAGTAAATGATCCTTTTACATACGCACTTTCTCGTGAAAATGAAAAATAATCAAAATAAAATTATAATTCATTAGGAATAGTTAATTCTTATTAATAACAAATTAATTATAAGATGATCCATTGGCAAATCGCAGATAATTATATAAGATGAAGTAGAAGGAAGAGAAAGATCGATAAGAGAGTAGTAGCAAATTATAAATATTAAAAAGAAAAATAAACTTAACATCTCGGTCTGGGAGAAAGGAGAGAAGGTGCGGCTTAATTAGAGGAGTCGTTTTCGCGCCGGCTTTGCATTCCCATTTGCCGGTCTGCTCGGCCGTTGCTCGCTAAACGGGATTCCTTTAAAAATTCTCTCTCTCTCTCTCTCTCTCTCTCTCTTCTTTTACAAAAGTAACGACAAAAGAGTCTCTTTCTCTTTCTCTTTTTCTCTGTCTTTCTGTACGTAGGTAGTCAGTGACATTTTCAAATGTCAACGTAATCTCTCGCAATACTCTAGGACGATTCTCAGATAAAAAAAGAGAGAGAAAAATAAAAGATAATTAATTTGTCTAGAAAATTTGTGCCACTAACATACGTGATATCGAATCGTATCAGTACATGATACAATGATACTTGAAACGTATTAATAATTTTGTTCATATGTCCAAACGAAGCATTTGAGGAAGTCTTTGGAATTGTTTTTCTTTTCTTTTCTTCTACCGTACTGATTTATTTCAATGTTTTGTCTCATTAAAGATGGGATCATGAATGAGTTGAAGGCAAGAACTTTCCGGACAAGGCAAAAAATATTAAAAAACAGAAAAAAAAGACATAGATAGAAAGTATTAGTAGCCTACCTGATCCTCCGAGTGTCCACGATCGTCCCTTTAAAGACGAAGCCCCATCGAGCAGAGAGAGAAGAAACGCATTAAGAAGAAACTGGTGAAGATAGAGGAGAAGAAGAAGAAGAAGAAGAAGAAGAAGAAGAAGAAGAAGAAGAAGAATAAAATCAGAGTCTCGCGATCCTCCAGGAATAGTCGCGCGGGCGTAGGCGAGTATCCGCCCTTCGTGAACGACGCAATGATGTTTCGAGAAACTTGCCAGGAGAATCCATTCGCAATGGAAACGAGAGAATGTTCTTTGGAGGTTTTAGGAAAATTCAACAAAATTGATTACATGTTTTCTCTTTCTCTCTCGCTCTCTCTATTCACTTCTTTCTCTTTCTCTCTTTCTCTCTTTCTTTCTCTCTCTCTCTCTCTCTCTCTCTCTATTCACTTCTTTCTCTTTCTCTCTTTCTCTCTCTCTCTCTCTCTCTCGCTCTCTCTATTCACTTCTTTCTCTTTCTCTCTCTCTCTCTCTCTCTCTCTCTCTCTCTTTCTCTTCCGATTTTGCTCTCTCGATTTTACTCTCTTTCTCCAAGTTTCCCGTGCGACTCTTTTCGTTGTGTGCGCGCACCGATCAATAAGAGACAAAAAGGCACATGTCCCGTAGCCTTCTCCGCGAGAAACCTTCTTCGAAAGGTTTGAGAAGGGATGCGCGGATGCGCGCGAGGCTCACTGTTCGCGACGCTCAGTTACTCGCGAGAACAGAGCGTCGAGGCACTTATTGCGCCGACGCCGTGACGGCGCGACGCCGACGCCGACGCCGAAGTCGCGATGCTGTCGACGTTGCCCGGGCGACCCTCTAATTTCTCCATTCCTCCTTCTTTTTATCTCCTTATCTCGGAAATTTAACGATGATGTGTCTAGAGATATATTTCTGTTCTGTCTTGAATTTTTTATTTTTTTGTCATTTTTGTTCATTAAGAAATTTCTTCTTTTAATTATTTTTTTTTCTTTTCATAGGAAATATACATATATAGGTTTTCATATTTCTTTTTTTATTTAATGAAATAACGAATAAGCTTAAAGCGATCTGAAAACATGTCGTTTTTTTTTGTTAAAAATTAAAGTTGAAAGGATTAATCTAGCTTTTAATCTCTAATGATTTTATTATGATTGATTCGTAACGTTGTCTCAATATAGTTTTTAATCCGCAATGATAGAATTTAGACTGAATTTTGTAAATTGTACGCATTTAAATCAATCATTGATACGATCGAATAATTCCTTTAATTCTACACTTAAATCATTAATATTAAATATTAACCAATGATAGAACCGAACCATCTTGATAATTATTCTTTACATTTGAAATAAAAAAAAATGAAATAACCCTAATCGATTGATCGATTCTAATTTTTTGCAAGTATTGAGGTTATTTAAACAAAATGGATAGAGACGTTATCAAAGTTTATGCCAGATTAAAACCAGAAGTAAACCGCGATAATCTTACGGTATTTACTTAAATAAATATTACAATGATTGAAAGAACGATCTCTGTATATCTTTGTCAAGTATCTCTTTTTTTTTTAGAAATATCGTATACTTCGTCGACCAAAGGATCACAACAAAGAAGATTTTTTGGTGTTACTGGCGCCTTTTAAAGACGACAAGTATATCGATCATCGACCCGAATCATGGAAGTTTTCGTAAGCAGCTCCTTAAAAAAAAGAAAAATGAAGGACACCTTTCGGTATATTCATACCTAATAAAACGAATTACCCTCATGCATCAGGTTTCACCATATCATCGAAGAAGAAGCGAATCAACAAGATGTCTTTGAGGATGTCGGTCGGCCTGTAATCGAGAGGTGAAGAGAATTCCATTATTCCATAAATTTCCTATTCATGCTTGTGTATCTTCGTTTATTAAAGTGTCCTTGATGGTTACAATGGTACTGTCTTCGCTTATGGCCAGGTAAATCGATGATCTTATTTATTTGGAAATAATCGTACAAAGATCTAGAAAATGATTGATACATTTCACTAAATTAAATAATATGAAGTCATCATCATCATCATCATCATGATTATTATTATTATTATTATTATTATTATTATTATTATTATTATTATTATTATTATTATCGTTATCATTATCATTATCATTAATATTATCAGGTTTATTTAAAAATTTGATCGATTTAATCATAATCGCAGATAGGTGAAGGTATTTGAATTTATAGACAGGCAGTGGCAAAACTTATACGATAGCAGGTGAAGTTTCAAGTAGCAATAGACAAGGTATCGTACCAAGAACTTTAAGTTATCTCTTCGACGTCATTAAGATGGTATAGTTCTTTTCTCAGTATTATTCAATAGTTTTAAAATGATATAACGATTAAGGTCAAATGCCCTGTAACAATATGATTAACTTTGCAGCATCCGGAAAACGTTTATTCTGTGGACGTGGCTTATCTGGAGATCTACAATGAATACGGTTACGATTTGCTCGATCGAAAGCAGCAGCAGCAGCAGCAGGTGCAGCAGACTATGCGTTTGGAGGATTTACCGTAAGTACGGGCCTGTTTTCTCGTAAAAGGGTTCCTCTCTTTCTCTGTGTATCGACATTCCGTAAGAAACCACTTCGTTGAGATCCATTTAAGGCTCTTTGCTAGATCTATTCCGAGAGTATGAATATGGAGCAACCGGTGGTGGAGCAACTTGGCATGCGTCCTTTTGCTTCCTTCTGATCGAATCTCGAGAATTCCTTCCTTCTTTTATTGCGTTTCTTACCGATATCTATGCGTGAGAACTCGGTGAAGAATCGAATGTACAACCCTTGTTCTAGTTCTTTCTCATTCTTCTCTTCTAATGAATCGTCCATCTCGATGATAAAGCGTTCGTTGAGCAATATTTAATGCTTTATTGTCTCTAACATTTCTATAGACGCATCAGCATCCAGGAGGACGAAAAGGGAATACTGCATCTTAAGAATCTGACCTTCCACAATGTAAAGAGTGAAGACCAGGCGATGGACTTATTCCTTATTGGCGATTCTCGCCGGTAAAAATATATTTCATATTTATCGACTTTATTTTTATTATTAATTATACGTCAATATTAACGTCTGATAATTATCGAACGATATCCTTGTTGATATGATATTTATCGAACTTCTGGTCAATTTAATTTTTCCATTCAAAAATTCTTAATCATTTTATTAGCGTTACAGCTGATACTCCAACGAATCCACAGTCATCGAGATCTCACTGTATTTTTACCATCGTCGTATCGGTAAGGCACCTTGGAGCTAATCGTTACAAGAGAGCTAAGATGCACTTGGTCGATCTAGCAGGGTACTATCTTATCATTGGTTAATATTTTGTCTTTCGCTCCCTGCATAGAGGCAACCTGTTAAACACGTGCGTTGTTCATAGATCCGAACGAGTTTACAAATGTGCGATCAGTGGAACTGTTTTGTCAGAAGCGAAACATATTAATTTGAGTTTACATTATTTAGAACAAGTTATAGTGTGCTTGAATCAGGAAAATTCAGGTCACATACCTTACAGGTACATTTCATTCGAGTCTAGATTCATTAGAATTTTAATAAAAAATTATTAACGTTCGTAGAAATTGTTTGCTAACTGCTATTTTAAGAGACAGTCTCGGTGGAAATTGCGTGACGACGATGTTGGCTACTTTGAGTATGTCTTCTACCAATATTCAGGTATAATTTATCTAAACGCGTTTTCATTAACAACGTCGGAAAATCATAGAGACAAATGAAAATCAATTTTATAATTGTCAGGAAACAGTATCAACTTGTAGATTTGCTCAAAGAGTCGCTTTAGTTAGAAATGATGCTAAATTGATACTAGAGGATGATTTGAACGGTGAAAATATACTTTTGAAATTGGAGAATGAGAAGCTTCGTAAACAAATCGAGGAGTTAATAAAGCGAAATGAAAACTTAAAGAATATGTTATCTTTGCAAGAAGATAGAGATGATTTTGAAAAAAAATTGGATTATTATAAAAATTTAGTGATGCAACGAGATCAAGAAATTTGTATCTTTTTTCAAAATTATTAGTTTCTTTTTTTTTTTTTTTAATTAAACACAAATTTTCTATATTTATCCGTAACTTTGTTAAAAAGCTGTCTTACTAGGTTTGTTAAAAAAAGCTAGGGATAAGAAAAATCAAGTAGAAGGTAACAATGTAGAAATAAAATCTAAATTGAAGTCCAAAGCGAAAGAAAGTACAGGTAATTAAGAATATTATTTCACTTAGAAATAAGAAAATTATAAAGAAAATTATATTAAAACGTATGATTTTAGTCGAACGTTTGTCTAAGACGTCAAAATTATACGAAATTATAGAAAAATCTGGCCATGAAAACGATATACAATTAAGAAAGGAAACAGATTCCGACGAGTTATGCAAACCAGAAATAAATTTATTACAAAAATCATTAGAAGAAAAATCGAAAATTAAACGAAACATTGAAAACTTAGATATTACTTGTAATAGTGAAAACGAGCATGATTCTTCGAAGAAAGTAAATTCGTTAAAAAAATCGTTAGGCGTGAATAATAAAGTAGAAGGTAATCCTTTGAAAAATAATAGATTGATATTAGAAGAGAAATTGGAAACAAAAAAGATCGATAAGAATTTACACGATGATTCAATTTATTCGCCTAATTTATCTTCGAATAAGGCAGTTACCAATAAATTGCCTGATTTAATAATAAACGATGCCCTCGTTAATTATCCCAACAATAATCAACTAGAAACACAACGTTTACAAAATATTATAAAATACAATAAAGTTGATAACGATTTCGAGAAGAATTTACCATTGACAGGTGATCCAGAGATCGACGAAGAGATCATCGCATTTTATAAAGCTAAACGTTCTGGTGGAATTTATTAATGATTTTTTAAACATTTTGTATTATTTTTCGCTAAAATATAATAATAAATTCATTAACAATTAATTTATGATATAAAGGGTTAAAGATTATAATTTATAAGTCGAATAGATTTTCAGAAATATATTATAATAATCGTGTTTTTGAAAATTAATATAACTTAATTATATTTAATATAACATTAACTTTATATTTAACAATAAATATTTGAATATATAAATATGATCATATTGATATTCAAGGTATAGGACATGACAATTTAGGCATATCCAATCTCTCTCCGTGCATTTTAGCTTCCAATATCGTTAATCGATTTTTATTAATTATCGCTAAGCAATGTTTCTTCGCCATGTTACTATACTTTCGTATTTTTAAATTCGAAATCTTCTCAGCTTGAATTTTAATATTATCTCGATAAACGAAACCTTGGATACCTGCAATCCAAATGATTTATCATTTTAACAACATTACAAATTATTCTATTTTATTTTATCATCAAATTACCTTTATATTCATAGATTTTAAGGCTTCTATTATTTTCAATAAAAATTAATAATGTCTCGACTAATCCTTCGAAATTAATTATTGAAAACGATATTGGATCGTTTGTTGGTATAATTTGTAGAATTTTCATTTGATTAAAATCATTATCGGTGATCTAAACGATCACAGATTTTTATTAACATTGAATATTATATTTTTATTCGATTTTTTTCTTTTTATACTTACGAATATGTGATCCTTAGTAATATTTTGATCATAATGAAGAAACTCTTCTCTTTCAATAATTCCCACCTTGATGGCAAAAATTTGCTTCGATGCCATGCTATTGTTTGAAAACGTATAATTCGTAAGATCTTTATTGAACTCATAGATAGTATATCGATTATTTAATAATATTCTATCGGTATTAGAAACAAATTTCAATTGTTGATCTTCGTCGGTGGAAACATAATAATTCGGATCAGATTGAAATGATTCTTTTTTATATAATTGTTGGATAGTTCGACTTTCTAAACGATCTACGAACAACAGTAAAAATGTATCGTTGTTTAATTTTTTCGCGCCTTTGACATTCTCAAATTGATAAATGTGAACGAATCTGTCGTTATCGAGTTTCCATAAATTCGTCGAATTTTTTCCACATTTTTGTTTTCCCATAACAAGAAAGTATAACGAATTGTTATGATTCAAAGTTATCCAATTTTCGATCTGTCCAAAATCAGGGATACTCGCTATTGATTTAAATTTTCTTCCTGTAAATTGAAAAACATCCAAGTGACAAGTTTCGTAACTTATTAGAAGTATATCAAGATCTTCTATCTCGAAATAATGGACGCTTAATATACGGCGTTCCACATCGATTACTTGCAAGTATTCGAAAGTGTTGAATTTGTAAATTTGACTTTCTGCATAATATTGTAGGTTTAGCGCATTTTTGCATAAATCAGGCAAGTTTGTCTGCAAAAGAAGGAAGATAAAAAAAAATTATTAGTTGACTGAACAAAACTTTGTTCGTTGTAACTTTTTCTTTCTTCTTTCATCATGTATATATATATATATATATATATATATATATATATATATATATATATTTTTTTTTTTTTATTCACGTACTGTCAATTCTATTAGAGATGCTTCTGTTGCTATACAATTTTGTATCAACAAATTAGCTAATTTAGTCGAATTGAATCCATTTAAGTGTCCTTCGTTCCTAACACTTTCTTTCAAATAAACATTTCCACGTATTTTCCATTTTCCAGAGACCAATTGTTTCGTCAGATAATTCGTAGTGACTGCAGTTGCACGCCAACCAATTAGATCTATTTCATTCAAACGTCCTAAGATTCTTAAAGATCCGTTTAGGATCACTGGTTTTTCAAACTCGAAGTTTCCTAGAAAAAGAGGAGAGAGAGAGAGAGAGAGAGAGAAAAGAAGAACAAGTTTTGTTAGAATATTTTGTCTCCTCTATGATTATAGAATCTTCTTGTCATAAAATAATTCATAATTCATAAATATACCAATTATAGTATCGTTGGTATTTAAAAGTAGAATCTGTTTTGGATTGACACGATTCATGAGACGAGGATTAAAATCATGACGCATAAGAACTTTGCCAAGAAATGTTAGATTCCCAGTAATATTTTGATCGCCAATTTTCTATATGAATAATATTTAAAATTATTTATTCCACACGTGCATCGTATGTTTATTTTATGATAATTCATAAATATGGAATAAGTAGTTACCATAAAAGTATCCGTGTAAATTTCATTCAAGTTGTGTCTGTTTATTTTTCTTTGAATATCGATTCTTTCGACGGTGATGTCGAAAGCTCTGACAAATTCATTTGATATTATCTGATCTGTAGCTAATGGTATTATCGAGCCCATGTCTATGTTATTCCAAAATTCGACGTTTATATTAGAATTGAATGTAATATTTATGAACGTCATTGGAGCTAAAAGTAAATAATTATTATAAATTTATTTTTATTTATAAGATTTATTCCGTATTACCAGGAAAAAAGAAAGGCCGATCTAAATAAGCAACGATATCTTTCAAGTTGTCGATGTCGACGCCACCGATCGTTTTAACGTCCAAAGCTTCAAGGATCTCTAGATTCTTCTTAACGACAATATCTTTTTGAAAAATAACGCTGGAATTGAAAGTAAAAGGTTTGTCGATGAAAATTGCTTTTTCATAAAATTCTTTTAAATAGATATCGTTTAAAGCTTCCTCGACGATTAGAAATGATTCGTTGAACGTTAATGATCCTTGAAAATTTTTTGCTCCTGATAAAGTAACGTTATCTTCCTTTTTAAATACTACAGACTTGGCAAATTTGTCGAAATTTATTCCATCAATCGTTCCATTAGTTATGAGATCAATTATTTCAATCGAATTGACAAATCGAATATTTGAGTTTAGCTCAAACGTTTCTTCGTCTAATTTTCGAACTCTGTTTATCAAGTCACGGAAAGATACTTTATTTATCTTTCCTATTACATCGAAATTTTCAACAACATTAACGGTACCTGCAACGGAATATAGCATAGCGATGAGAGAAAGAGAGAGAGAAAGAGAGAGAGAAAGAGAGAGAGAGAGAGAGAGAGAGAGAGAGAGAGAGAGAAAGAGAGAGAGAGAGAGAGAAAGAGAAAGAGAGAGAGAGAGAGAGAGAGAGAGAGATTTAATATTACTATTTCATCTCAACATTTTAAAGTGACATTTTTAAGATAATTTTCAATATTGTTCATTAGTGAAATGTATTGAAATTGTTTCGAGATATCTTACCATTTATAATAACAGGACCAGCTAGGTCTTGATCCTTGTACGGATCAAGAAGATTTTTAATACTGTGTCTATTAAATGATTTAATTTCAAGAAATTTGCAACTAATATTTTCAAATTCTTTCAAACCATTTACTATAATTTCTTCATCCGTTTTCAACACGGCATTCTTAACGAGTTTGGTAAAATTAAAATTGTTTATGAAACCATGAACAGTTAGGTTTTCTACGTATAGATCATTTTCAAATATCACAGTACCCATAGTTTCTGGATTATACATTTCATCCAACAATATTCCATTTATCGATGGTGTGTAGATCATTCCTTTTACAGTGACAGATTCTAACGTTACGTTGCCATCGAAAATATTCTGATAGAATCTATTTAACCGGTCGATCAGATCATTCCACTGTTTCATCGACATTCCATTTAGACGTTTGATCTCGAGATCATCGATCTCCAATCGATCGAACGTATAATTTCCGGTTAAATTTTGCATCGTCGATTTGGTTATGGCAAATTTTATAAAATTATTCAAATTAACATTGTTTATAAATTTTGGACTGATTTCTCGAACATTTAATTTGTTTACTCTTAAATTATTAAAGGAAACGTTTTGTAAAGTTTGGTTCAATTTTTGATTGAACGTATTACTGGTGATATTCTTGTTTAAAATATCAAACGATAGATCATCAACGAACAAAGTGTTTTCGAAAATTATGCTCTTATTTATGCAATTCGAATTTTCCTTCGTATTTTCTTCAAGGATTTTTCTTATTTTTTTTGTAAATTCGTAAGTGACGTTATCGAAGGTTACGTTCTCTGATATTTCCTTCAAATCTGAGAATGAGAAAGAGAATTTAAATTAAAAAATAAACATAATTTTTATAATAAATACCTAATTTTTAAAACTGATTCAGTTTGTGATTCGTATGATTTTGGTTAAATGTACTTTCCATATTTTCTTCTGTTTGTTTTTTTATGCTTTTTAGTACCTACTTGAAAATACTTGATCGGTTGTCAAAGTTACAAATTCTTCGATGGCATGTCCATTAATCGTGTTAGATGCGACATAGATTGATCCATCGATCGCAACGTTGCCCGTAAATGTCTTCGTTCCAATAATCTCGACTTTGGAATCATTTTTCAATAAAAGATCGTCAAAATTTGACCAATATTTGTCATTTATCGAATCCTCCAAATGAATATTTCCCAAGACAGTTAAATTGTAAAAAATAACGTTTGAAGATATGCTTTGAGTCTCGTTGATCAATAGTTCTTGTTCGAGTTGAGATACATCAAATCCACTTATTTTACCATTGATCTGTAAAGAATATAACAAATTAAATAAGAAATTAAAATATAATGTAAAATTGTAGAGACAATTAAACGAAATGAATATGATTTATACCGATCGTGAGATTCTTTTTTTTTTTCAACGAGTAATCAATGCAATTACGCAAAAAGTAAACGTTTATATACCATGAAAGATCCAAGTACAGTTATGTTACGAAAAGTGATATCCTTCTCGAAAACATGATCGTTCTCGAGCGTAATGAACTCGTCTATATCGACATTGTTTATATTCAAAACTTGGGATAACCTTTCGACGATAAGTCGATCAAAGTTTTTTATTCCGGTAATGTCGATAGGAACGGAGCCTTCTTCCAACACGTAATCGTAAGGGTAACTTAAATCATTCAACGTCCTCACCTTTACTTCAGCAGCTTTGACTTTCTGGAAGAAGAGATCAACGATATTATCAAGATCCTATTTATTTATTTTTTCACACAAATGCAAACATACGCGTGCATATATGTACATACCCCCTTAACTATAGTTTTTTCTGGTATAAAAGCCAATTTATTTTTCCAGACAACACGTTCCCAGTTGATATCATTTATCTTCGAGAAAGTCAAGTGTCCATCGATCGTTACGTCGTTGATCTTAGAAAAATCGATATTCGAATAATTAACCGTAGACCCTTCGAACATAATTCGTTCTATTGGTATACCATTGATCTTTCGAACGATCAAATTAGTCGCTTCGATGTTGGAAAATGATTTTTCTCCGTCGATGACGTAATCGGACTGATTAGTTAGATAATTTTTTAATATTTTGGAGATCGGCAGATCATTAATCGAGTTTGTTGAAAATTGTTCGACGAAGAGATTTCCATTGATTCGTAGATCACCAGAAATATCTAAATCACCAAGTAGATCAATTTCCGTTGAATTTAAATCGAATGTACTTTTTAGATCTAATTCTAAAGTTTGACATTTTTCTGTTAGATTGTTTAAAGATATCTTTATCCAAGTTGCATTCGTTAATATGTCTTTGTATGTCAAATTTTTCGAACCGAAACTGATGGTATAAAATACGTCGTTTTCTATGGTTAAATTCGTTGTTATTATTTTTGATGCGTTGATTAATTTGATTTCCGTATAATTAATGTGATCCATCAGATTGAATCTTTCGTCGATCTCATCAATGATATTTTCTTGTTTATCTAATAGTTCCTAAAAAGGTTTGTGATTGATTTAAATAGCTATTCAAATGAAAGAATATATATATAATAAATGAAATATTAACTTCTCTCATTTATTTTAATATTTTATTTAATATTTTATAATTATTTTAATACTTCGTGCATAATATAATCGCATAGATTAATCATTAACGTACTTCTAATAACGCTTTTGCTTTTACTATTCCTGCAATTTTATCTTCTATAGGGCTAGGAAGTTGATTCAATTTCGTATCGATTTTGACAAATCGATTTCCAGATACAAATCCATATCTAGGAATACTCGTTGCCGTAGATAGATCAAAATTATTAAGAAGAAAATTGGGTAAGGATATTTTTTGAAATCTATCACCCTGCCAAGCCAAAGCATAGACCGTGGAATTTTTTAATTGTATTAATAACAATGATTCGTCTCTATAACTTTCAATACGAACGTCCACGATCCAGGCAATTTCTGGAAAAGCTAAATTCATTTTGTCGCTTAAACATTTTCAATGATCTCTTATCTTTTAGATGCGAAATAATAAGAATTAAATGTTTACCGTTAAAAAAATCTTCAGTCTCGGAATTATATTGAAATTCATTATCCAAAAAATGAAATAATGCAGATTCTCGTCCAGATGTAGCTAAATATTGCATGTGACCGCTCTCGAAACAAACGAAATTATTCAAATCGTTTGATTTAATTGTTTGCCAAAATTCGAACGTTCCATGAACGTAATTGTTCCCGTTGTGTTCGTAAAGTAAAACTTCGTTTATACCATTAAGAGCAAGTATAATGTGCTCGTATACTTTACATATTTGCATATTAAGTATCGAGGAAACTTGTATCCTTTGACTGAACCTTTTAAAAATGTTTTGACATTTTTATTATCGATTAATTTTTTTTCCTCCCTTTAAATTGATCCAATTAATGTATTTTACGTGAAAGAAATGTGTTTAAATTAGAAAAATATTATATATTATTATGTGCATAATATAATTACCATAATTGATAGTCTTTTTTGACAAAATCAAGATTGAAACTATATATGTCAATTAACGAGACTGGTGTCCCATAATTGTCTCCGTTAAATAGCAATAATAATTTATTTTGACCCTCGTATCTAACAAATTTTATATCATTCGTTGGTTGTTGTATATTCAAGACCAAAATTAATTCTAAATCTTGCTTAAAAATTCGATACCATCGTAAACTCGTAACGCCATTATTTTCAACGCACATAATAAAAACAATATCATTTTCTTCGTGTAATCTCGTAGCTTCTACATTGATCAATGTAAACGTCAACACACGAGCGTCTATATCGAATTTGTCGAAACGTCTCGTTATTGCGTTCTTCTTCATATCGAAGGTATACAATAAAAGAATTGTTTCTTCGGAACAAGCTAAATAATTAATTCCATTATTTTCAAGTGCTATCCAATTATATTCATTCCTTGGTAATCTTGAATCCTCTTCGATCGAAATATTAGTTACTATGACTTCTAAACCGATTTGAGAAAACCAATGATAATATGATAATTACATGTATCATTTTAATTGCATAAAAGTTATCAAAAGCGTGTATAGGATTAATTTGATAATTCAAAAGATTTCAACAAATGAAAATTGTACGTATGATGTAAATTAATTTTACAATGTTAATATTCATAATTTCTTCTTTCTATATAATTACCTTCTCGATTCCCAGCATTCGTTCCAAATTCATATTCCTGCCAAATCGGAATACTTTCCATAGAATCTAGCGAGCGACGTTGCAAAGATTTGGCATTAGTATTTAACACTTTGTTTACTTTTTCCAACATCTCTTTGATGTTTTGACATTTTATCGTTTCTAATCGAAGAAAAAGAAAGATAAGAACTACTAACGACGAACAATGCATGTTAACGAATAACTGAATATATATTTTCCTTCGATCTCTCCTTCGAATTTCATTTCTTTCTTCTGAACTCGACTCGAATGACTCATAATATTTAGAGATTAATAAATCCCTTTATTATTATACCAGGTTGATTGACAAATAAGTATGGAGTTAATTATAATAAAAACGTATTTCATTAATATCATTTTAATACTTATTCAACATTAATAACAATAATGATGATGATGATGACAATAATTACAATTTATAAAATTAAAAAACCATGATAATCTTAAGATACGTAGCGTTAATTTAACATAAACTTGGGCGTTATATATACGAGGCGTATAAATATGATAAAATAATTTCTTATATACAGTATTACATAATAAAATGGTTATTAACAATCGTCGTGTATAATAAATAGAAGAGATACTTTCTAAGCAAGTGCCATATAACGTGTCCATTTCATTCGTGTTATATAACGCTTTCTCTCTCGCTCTTTCGCTCATATTCAAGGTACAGTTACCGGCAAAAACCTTGACCTGTCGCCAACTTTTGGTTGAAATCTTAAATCGATCTTCTCGCTACCATCCTCGCCAACTTCGAGAAACGTGTTCCAATCTACTAAAAAGTATAAACCATTTTTTCTTTTGGTTGGTAAAACAGGATCTGGTGCTCGTGTACTTCCACCAAATGAACTTTCTAAATCTAATAAATTTTTATTGGTTGTGGTCGATGTTGTCGTCGTGGATGTTGGTTCCGATTTCATTTTCGTCGTTTCCGTTGCTGTATCCGATTCGACGGGAGCTTTTACAGAATTCGATGTCGTAGTCGGTTCTTCCGTCGTTTCTGTCGATTCTAATGAAAAAAGGATTAGATCGTTTATTAGAAATGCGCATACAGTGCAAACTACGTTTGAATTGAATTTTTCTTTTTAGAGAAATTTTAATTACTTGTCATTTTTTCTTTGCCCTTTCCCCCACCTAAATCATTAGATAGTTTGCACATCATGCTATTATAAGATAATCAATTGAAGATATATCAATTACCAGTTTCTGAGATCGTACTCGATTCGGTAGAATTCTCTACACTCGTCGAACTTTGAGTATCCTCTTCCTGTCTCTTCACTTCATTTTTAAGATCCTCGTTATAGACCCTAATAATTTCTTCTAAACTCAAAGGATCTGGACCACTGGACAAAGTCTTTGTATTCTTTAATAAATCTGTAGCAGCTTTTTGAAAATCCTTAACATCAGCTTTACCTTGTTGAACCAATTTAACCGTATCTAAAAGTTCATTGATCTTCGATCTTTGATTCTCATCCTTAAAAGTCGTTTCGTGTGGCTTGAAAACGTGATATTTGGATTTGCTCTCTTTCAAAGTATAATTAATTGAATTTTTGTTATTCCTACGAGAATTCGAGATCAATCCAATATTTTCTAATATCGTTCTCATGTTAACGGGAACAACTTCGATCACCGATGGAACCTCCGTTTTCATAGCCTTGAATTGCCTTTTATGACCAAGTCCAAATCTCGCGAAAAATTCTCTCATCTCTTCGTCTTGTACACTGGACGAAGTCGGCAAAGGCTTAAAACTTTTGTACAAATTCGTAGGTACACGATCGGTGGTTACGGTAATAGTTACGTTAGGTCTTTGATCATTAGAACTTTGAAGGCCAAATCTTTGAAAGAGTAATCGCACATCGGGCGTTAAATTTTCCATACCTTTGTTCAAATCAAAATGACCAACCTCGAAAGTATTTTGATCTGCGATCGATGGCGAATCCGTATTAGATGTTGCTAGAGGGGATGTTGTATGGGAATAAACTATGCCATTTGCGTTAGGAATCTTTGATCGTTCATATTGAACGTTGTAAATATTTTTATTTTCGTCGAAAAGATTTTCAATGTTTTTTTCGTTGTCAGGACGCAAACCGATTGAAGCTAATAAATTCATAACCTGTTGTCTCATTGGTTCGGTCCAAGTTCTCTCGGTCGACGTACTACTCGTTGCTCCACGAAATCCACCAGAATTTAAAACCAACGTTGTATTTAATTTCGATGTTTGAGAATTCAATGAGAGCGGAGTTACAAATATCGTCGATGATTTATCATCTTGTTGAATTTCGGGATATTTCGTGACCGTTTTACTGACCGTCGGATTCTCGAGCTTTTCATTTGGAATATTTTGAGGCGGTGGGGCATGATAACGCCATTGATCTGAATAAAGAATATCTTGTTTGGATTTAGACGGAGTCAAATCGATCGTTAATTCCTCGGTAGTTGATTTCTCGTTGTCGTTCTTTTTATCAAGAACCTGATTGATATCTTGAATCTGATAATTATCTACAGTAGTAACGGTGGTGGTAGGAAAAATAATATCATCATCGATCGTTGTCGTTTCTTGATTAGTATAACGTTTATTTTCCAAGTTCTCCAAGTTGAAACTAAATCTAATCGGCGCTAATCCAGGAGTTAGAGTCTCCTTTAATAACGATTCTTTAGGTCGTACCTCCGAATAAATTTCTCGATGATTTTTGTATCGATTTTTTTCTACGAAATTGTCGATCGATTCCGACGATCCACTATTTTCTTTCGATCGATCATTGTTGAAAACCATTTCAAGACGTTCACCACTGGTTGAGTCCGATATCATTTGGACTATCGGCGGTTTTGTGTATAAATCTTTTAAATTTTCCGATGATTCTCTTGCTTTGTACGGTAAAACGATCATTAAAGCTCTCTGATACATTTTCCGTCCTTTTTCGATCTTATCTTTATTTCCATACGCTTCTAAATCCTTCGACGTGATATTGTATAAAATCTCTACGATATCGCTTCGAGATAATCGAGGTAAACTTGGATTTTCATTGATCAATCTTTCAACTTCGTTGATCGTTCGATTGATCGAATCTTCCACTTGGAATATCGATGGAAGTTCCATCGATTCGACATGATTTAGACCAAAAAATAAGAGTACGTAGAAAATAGGGATCTGAAAAGTAATTTTGTTTAATTAATGTACTATAGATCAAATTGAACGATTACATTTAATTCCGAAGATCGATAGATGTGTCAGAATCTTCTCCTTACTCATACGACGATTGAAATGTGTGAAACGCGTCTTGTCCTTGAAATAGATAATTGCCAAATCGATGTTTCTACTATTATTATTATTAGAATTACATGATCAATTTTTAGGCGCATTATTTTCCATATTCATAGACATCTCTCATAAAATATCCTTGGACTGAACTAACCGATCGAGAAAGTACTGTTAGTCGATCCAGCGCGCGCACACCGTCTTTGATCCTTGTACTGACATAGATAATTATACGCGCGAGTCAACGACGATTTTTTCTTTTTCCTTTTTTCCCTTTTGCACTAGATTATCGGTCCATGACGCGTATTTCTCTCTCTCTCTCTCTCTCTCTCTCTCTCTCTCTCTCTCTGTGCGAAAGACATTTTCGAGATATTTACGAAATATTTCTTTTCATTCATTCACGTTGGTAATTCAGTTATATATCTTTCTTCGTTTCATGTTGAAACGTTTAATGTATATGGTCCGGTGGAATGAAAGAAAACTACGTTAAAATTAGATACGGAGAACGAGTCAGAAGATGAGGATTCTCGAAAACGAAAGTGAACTTTCATCCTCGACGATTTCAGCGGTTATTACGGTACGCGACTGTTTCTTTTCGGTGAGTCTTTTTCTTTATAAATATAAAATATCTATCAATCGTTTTTAAATCGATATCCTATCCTTATTAATATCTATAGTGTATATTAATTATTCGAAATAATGCATTGGAAACTTTTTAAGATTATTACGAATAAAAATAAAGGAATATTGTTTGAGATGAGACGTGAAAAAGAAAAGAAAAGAAACAAGAGAATTTTCTAGGAAAATCCTCGTGAGATCGATAAGAAAAGTATGGAAAGGAAAAAGAAAAACTTACCATTGCTAGGAGCGATCGATCGCAAAAGCAATCGTGAACTGACCGTACGACTTAAGAACCTACTTTCAAACTCTCTCTCTTCTTACTTTGCCACTTGATTCTCTCTTCGCTCGTCCTATCGTTGCACTCACGCACGTTCGACTGTCGTCCGAGCTTCCTTTCCACCTGTCTCATACTCGATCGGCGATCGCTATCTATCCATCTCCTCTTCTTTCTTGTTTAGGCATTGCAACGTGACATAAAAGACGAATCGTCATCAAGGTTTTCTTTAAGGAAACGTTTCTCCGCTAATTCTTGATATTATTCTCATCTCGAAAGTGAATATCTCTCGAAAGGGACATCGCTTTCTTCAGACGGTTTTTCTTTACATTTTCACATAATTTACCTTTAATGAAATACATATTATTTTCAATCGTTCGTGCTGCGTATATTATTTATTTAATCGTTTATAAATAATTGGTCTGTTTGATATGAAAAAACATTTACGATATATAAAGAAAAAATCTTTTTATATTCAAATAGATATTAATTTGCATTAATCTGCATTATCGATCATAGATGTTCTCTTTATCTGTCTATTTTCCTACTATCGGTAAGTCAGTATCGAATAATCGACGGAGTGATAATAATCATTTAATTATAATATCTTTTTCTTTCGGTCCTTTTAATAATTTAAAATGTATAATATAGTTGCTTGATAAAAAATAAACAATTATACGCATTATTATATTATTATATTTATTGATCGATGAATATGCGGAATGGTCATCATTAACATTAAATATCTTATTAAAAAAGTATCTATCTTAGTTGTCAATGAGAATTAGAGAATTATATCGTAAAGTCTAAACGCGTGTTAAAGAAAAATTAAAGCGTCATAAGTGAAAATATTTCAAGATAAGTCGTTGCAACATCGCTACTTAGTGGTGGTAAAAGTGGGGAGTCACTCTCACCGTTAGTGATCGTGTCCCGGTCCGACCGACTCGCCTTTTCGATCTTACCAGACGCGAGTTTGCTTTGTCGAGTTTGTCGAACTTTCCATGTCGAAGATCCATACAGGGTTTGAAAAAATTCAAACAGTTTTCGAATATTGGCTATCGTTCCTGATTAATTTCTATAGTAGAAGATCGATTGATCGAATTATACGATGGAAATTTTCGAGAATCGTTCGAACTTTGATTGCGATCTCGATTATGTGCCCTCTGCGATCGAGCATGTAGAAAGTAAGTTTCTTTTCTATTTTTATAACTCCTTAGTCTAACTCTCCGACTCTTCCTCTTTATTTCTTTTTCGATAAAATGAATGAACGTTATATGAGTAAAATTAATATAAAAAATCTCAATTTAAAAATTATTGAAATTTAGAAGAATGAATTATTCAACGGAATAATGTTATTCCTATTTTCAATTGTAATTTTCTTTTATTTGGATCAAGAATTTACGATATGAAATGAACGATATTTCGCTTCGTCGCTACGTCTGAGTTGTGTATGGCTAAAAAGTTATATCGATAAATCATTTTTACTTAATAACATAAACAACTTACATTTGATAATCTTCCAAAAGTATTACGAAAATTTGATTGCAAATACCACTGTGCTTATGAAATGATATCTATCGATTCTAAACGTAAATAGACTGAAAAAAGATAAATAAATTAAATTATATGAAACATTATTATCGATTCAAGAAAAAATATGTACTTTATTATCTTAATACAATGTTACTTTTTACAATATAATATTTTTACCGCGTTCGACTTAAGTCGAGAAAACATTTTATTCCATTCGACGTATGGAAAGTTCATAATCATTGTTATCATATTACACATTTAAATACAGCATTGACACAATTATTGTTTCTTTTTCTTCTTCTTTTTTGTCTTATTTTTTTCTCATTTTTTCATTTTTTGCATCTCCTATGGAAGGCATATACGAGTGACACGCGCTTTGGTGAAAGTTCTCCTTCGAGTTTATATTTAATTTTACACTTCGCATAAATGCACGATTATATACTTACGTATATATAAATTTTTTAAAAAGGAAGTATCCCCGACATGAAAACCTATACAATCCACGCACAGAATGTTTAATTAAAAAGATGAAAAATCCCGTAGTAGAAAAATTTATCTCGTAATAAAAAAATTTATTCTTGTCGGAGGATAAAATTACCGGGAGCAAAAATATAAATCACTTGTGTGTCTCACAAGAGATTACGGATAAGATCTTTCACAACTTTTTCTTTTCTTCCTCATTAGTATTTATTCTTTACATAAATCGTTTCTGTTTCTTTTTCCGATAGTACATATCTCGTTTTTGTTCATTCGTTCTTCACTTTCTTTTTTTCGTTTCACGAGCTCTGCCATCTACTTGTAAAGCAAAAGAGCCAGAATTATCGAATTATGTGCTTTCACCAAGTAATTTGGTCGAATTATCTTTGCGTATAGTGTTTTGAAATATATTTTTATTGATTTGATACGAAAGTTAATATAATTTTCCAATAAAAATTCCGCAGTATTACAAAATCGTATATATCTATTTAAAATTAAACATATTATAGAAAAGAATAAGAAAATTATTCTAATGCATTTCAAAAAATGGCGCATTTGTGCATATATATGTATATATATATATATATACATATAATTTAAATTAATTTGTTGGAAATTTATGATCATCGTTAATCGTACAAAAAAAATAGTAGCCAGAAATATCAAATAAAACGATATCGTCTATCGTAATCGTACTTTTCTATATTTTAATAATGTATCTCGTCAATTGCTTGAAAAAAAAATCTTATCTTATCATTTTATCTATCTTCAATAGAAAACAATTATAAATTAGTTATATGATGGTCTTCGCTGAATATATGTTAATCCTGAAAAACTTATTTATTTATTTTTTTTTCCTAAATACAATTATTCGCTGATTTAACAACCATTTGATATTTTACATTTTTTGTTTTAGGTTTAGGTACATTTGCAATTGTCCTGGTATGCATTGGAGCAATATTTTCAACTATGACGTTATACTTGGCTATAGATGCTACTTACAACGTTCTTTCGCAAAAAGAAACGGTTCTTTACAAATCTAATGTCATTAGCATTTTCTCGATATATCCGATAGCGAGTATTTGCAGTTTGATAGCGATAGCGATGCCAAGGTATAGACGATAACGTTTTATTAATGTATTCCATTAATTTATAATTGAGCACTATTTTATTATAATTTATTAATTTCTCATTATAATAATGTAGCTTTTAAAAACTAAACGTCGATAGACGGATAAAGTGACAGATAAAATAAATGTGTGCGTGAATAAGAGAGCTCGAACTCTCTAAATGAAAAATTCTTGTTACTCGAGAGTCTATTTTATGATGACAGTCGCCTAAAAAAATGTCATTCGAAAAATCTTTTCGGTCGACCTTTCTTTCCAGCACGAGAATTGCGAGGTGGAAGGGGGGAAAAGGGAAAAAAAGGAAATAGGGATGACGGTGGGACATTTGTCACGAGAGTAAGATTCATGAATCCTCTTTAACAGTTCTTTCTATTGTTCTATTTTAGGGCACAATTATTATCGGAGGCGGTCACTCAAGTTTTCTTGACAGTGTCTTTTTATCGTCTGTATCTTCTTCTTATCGATGTTGGTCGTCGAAAAATAACGAAAGCGCCCTCATTAATGTTGAAAGTTGGCCCTTGCTGTTGCTGGCCATGCTTACCCTTTCCTAATCTCGATATGATAGATTCTCGTTTAACTTGGATTCGATTGATTATTCTTCAACTTCCTATTATACAGGTATATATTTGTGCGTCGTCTATCTTGTATTTCTTTAATCTTGAAAATTCTTTTTCAGGGTTTACTATACTTCATCATGCTAATTATGGCTTTGGACGAACGATATACATTACCAATGTACTCTGAATGGTTTCAACCATTCATTGTGATTAGTATACTATTTGCATTGTATGGTTTAACGATCACCACAAAAAGTCTACATGCCGTAGCTCCAGGTATATCCTTCTGTTATTCACGTATGCGTGTGTTTGTGCGACGATGACGAAATTTGAGGAACGATTAGTCGACCACACGCGTGAAGACAGGAAGCAATTTTTAAATAGGGTGGAAAAGTGGTGTCCGATGTTAATGGAAATAAATGCTTTTTCTTTTTCCAACAGAAGCCAAACTGAACTTTAAGACTATGGTGTCTCAGATGGTCTTGATGTTTTCTAAAGCCCAAGCTGGTATTATTAGGATTCTCATTTATACCGGCATCTTTCCTTGCAGGCCACCATTGTCACCGAAAATTTATTCCAATGGTAAATTTATTACATAATAACTATGTAGGCGATAGTCCATTGGAATGTGGACGAGAAAAAATGAACAGGCTAATGAAACTGATAGAGAAACGGGAAATCGAATGATCGATTAAGATATTCTATTGAGTTAGCCAATAAATAATGTCAGTATTTTTTATTGAAAATTCAATTGAAAATTCAGTTGAAAATTCTGATGATAATAATAAAGATAATATCAGACTTATCAGATAATATTATTATTTTACTATTTATATAATATCAGATTTTTCAGATAGTATTCTTTTGCTATTTCAAAACTTTTTAACGTTAGTATATTTTCATATATAGTATACTTTCGTAACGTTAGTATATAGAAAGAAAATCGAGCTTGTTAGAATTTGTCGCGAATCTTTCGTTTCTGATAATCGCCACTTTCTCTGACTTGTCCTTATTTCAGTGACGCAAAATACCCTGATGCTAATCGAAATGCTGCTGCTCTGTGTTGCGGCGAGATATCTTTATTATGTCGACCTGGAAGGAAAAAAAAATTCGTTGACGACAGATCGGCCAAAAGACAAGCCGCACAGTATGACGAATAACAAGGACTTACCTGAACAAGTTTCAACAAAGATCGCTATTGTGTATAAATCTTAAATAATAAGAACAATCTTTCTTTGTTTCAAGAGGAATAGAGAGAGAGAGAGAGAGAGAGAGAGAGAGAGAGAGAGAGAGAGAGAGAGAGAGAGAGAGAGAAAAGAGAGAGAGAGAGAGAGAGAGAGAAAGAGAGACTTTTTTTAAATCTTTTAGCCGCTGAATATGCAATTCTTCGATCGAATCTTATCTTGGAAAAATTCTTACTTTAGTGTCGTTAGTATTTCTTCTACATAAAAATAGATGCACTTTTTTTTATAGATTGTTAATAATTTTTACTAAGTAGTTGAATTTTTATTAAAAGACAAATAAGTGATCTTCTATAAAAAGAAAACTTATAGGCACGTTCCTATATGACAAAGTAAATTATTTCTTACTTAGCAAAGCATATACTGATGTTTATTAATCTTACCGAGATAATTTACAATTAGTACGAAACCTATAAAAAGAAAGAGATCCCCTAAAAGATGAATCGTATTTATTCCATTTTATACTTCCTTTTTATACTAGATACACTTTTTTATAGTACTGGTAAAAAAGAGAAGAAATAGAAAAAATGTGTGATACCTAACGATTAAGGAAAAAAGCGACGATCTGTAAATTATTATAGAATAATGCCTATATTATAATAATTAATAAGTCTTGGTAAAAAGCAAAATTGTCCATTCAAAAAATAAAGGGAGATAAAATGTTTATATTCTCCAGTACGAAGATTATCGCGAAATAAAAAAAGGAGAGAGGACTCGCAGCCAAATGTTTTTCGAGTTTCTTCTCGCAGACGAAAAGAAAGGATGGAGATACTTAAGTACTTGGTGACGGATGGTGAAATTCGAGAATATAACTTTGCATTATCAGTTGGAGAACTTTCGGGGTCTCGCGTCCTTGAAAGGAAAAAAGTCTGAACTCTGATGTATCTTGACGAAGGAGCCAGGAAATGGCGTATAAGATAAATGTAGAACTTCTGATAATGCAGCCACTTCTTTGGCCATTATCTCCGACATTACCTTCGAGCTCGACGATTGGATTTATTTTATTGCCGACGAAAGTTTATAAGAGAAAGAGAGACTCGACTTTTAGCGAGATTTTGTTTCTTTCTTTTCGTCGAATGCTCATCCTTATTTTAAAACTTTATAACCTTTGATATCATACGTTTTAAAGTGGCTTAATACACGAATATACGAATGTTGTAAATAATTGTTTAATAGTAATATATCATAGTATAATATGGAGTATAATAATATATTATAATATGGATTTGAAAGGTATATTTAAAATATATTTAATATAGATTATAATATAGTAATATAGTATTAGATATATATATATATATATATATATATATATATAATATATATAGATGACAGTCAAGAAATTATTTCATATATTAAAATTAGAATTCAACTACATATCGTGTCTTTAAGCATGCCGCAAGGAAAGATTTTCCCGATAGGCATCAAGATCTTGAAAAAAGAAGATAGAGAGAGAAAGAGGGAGAGAGAAAGAGAGAGACAAAGAGAGACAAAGAATATATATGCGTATATAAATGATAGGAGAAAAGCATCGAATTCGTTTTTACCCAAAGTTCTTCGATTCTCCAAGCTCGAATAGAACGACAGAACACGGTAAACGTTTATCGTGAAGCATCTAAAAAGAGAGAAAGGAAGGAAAGAGAGAGGAGGGGGTTGGGGAAGGGCAGAGGACGTTACACGGCGGTCCTCAAGTATACCTTGTACCCCCTCATTTTTCGAGCGATTTGAAAGGACCACTACCTACCTACCTGCAGAGTCTGACCCACGAAAACTACAAAACGCGTTCTCCTCCTCTTCCTCCTCTATTTCTTCTTCTTTTTTCTTTTTCCATCTTTCTTTCAGCATCTTCCTCTGTCTCCCTCTCTCTCTCTCTCTCTCTCACTCTCTCTCTCTCTCCCTCTCTCTTTCTTTCTCCCTCTCATTCCTCGTTCAGCAGCCGCGAACCCTCTTCTTTTTTCTGCTCCGTGATCACGATCGAGCTTTAGAGGCATAATAGATTTAACAGTTCCCTTCGTAGGATATTGGTTTAAAGGGGGTAAAGAAATTTCTTCTTCGGTTCGTTTCACCTTCTCTCTTCAACCTAGTTCCAAGTATCGCGGCTGGACCAAGTTGATTTTTCTTCGGAAATTTGTCGCCGCCGAAGGGGCCCTCCGTTTTACGACGTCCCTTTTTCAAGGATTCCTTGCAATCTTTCTCTTTCTCTCTCTCTCTCTCTCTTACTCTTGCTCTCTATCTCTTGAACCAAGCAATATGATAGATGCCGCTGTGGGCAATTTGAAGAATCACAGCATCGTAACTCCAAAATAATAGATTGATAATTCAGTGCGGGACTAATTAAGGCAGCAAGGGTCTTCGAATCTATAGGCCAAATTGTTTCCTAACGTTGAGATTCCTTCTCTCTCGGGCTTACTGATCTCGAGACTAAATAACCTTGAGGGCCGAGACAGCTCGAAGAGGTCTTTTTGCGAAGGTGGAGTAGAAAATAACTGACAAAGGTATTTTGCTAGCTAATGAGCCGGCGAATCTGTCGAGGCTTTAACGTAATCATTTTTCTGATATATAACAGACATTTATTATTATTTCATGTGTGTAAGTCAAATTGTAAATGAGTTTTGCAAAATTTATTGACACGTGCAATTAATTTTCTTAATTGATTTTAGGAATTAGAAAGAGAAAGAGAAGGATGTTTCGTAAAAGTTTGATGAGCTTTTCAAAGTAGGTATTCAAAATACTTGAGGATTTACTCGTCGATTTATCTGGAAGTGCCACTTCGTAGCTACTCCAGCGTGAGGATAACTGTCATTATCGTACAGGCTACTGTTGCTGCTGGCTCTCTTTAGGATTTTCAGGATCGTAGAGAGAGAGAGAGAGAGAGACGCATAGCCATGTGCTGCACGCGCGAGAAATCGGAAAACGCTTCCCGTGACCGTCGACATATGGCACGCGGCTAGACTTTATCTTAAGGAGAAAATATACTTTCGGAGGCGAGCCTTCCGTGAGTCTTGGAAATATTGGACCTGCTGAAAGAAGATTCCATCCACCTTTTTGTACTATTTTATGAGAAAAGAAAAAGAAACTTTTTTTTTATGATATTTTGATTTTCTTGAATTTTTCCATTTGCATATATAAACATTTGAAGAAACTTATTAATATCTATAATAATATTTATGCAATGAATTGTATGCAAATTTAAATTATTTATACCTAATATCGAAAAGAAAAATTTCTAGGAATCATCGATTAGATTCATAACGTACAAAAGCTTTAAATCGAATGAAATGTATAGGTGATAATTAAGCTAACAATAAGATAGAAAAAAGATTATAAGGAATGGGGGAGGATGAGAGAAAGTATCTTGTAGTAAACCGCAAAGATTCATAAAGTAAAGAAAATTTTCTTCGTTTTTTTTCTTCACCCTTGACTATTACTTAATTTACATCTCAGTGGTTACCCACGAGGATGCTTGCGGTTCATTCGAAGATGTTTTTGCAGCTTTCGTGTACTTTACGAGTTGTACGCTCGAAACTTATCTTTCAACGGCAATTACTTGTCTCGGCTCCAAGCAGTTTCTAAAACGACTTCGTATAAAGAATAATGGGCGTTCGTGCAGGTATCGGTCATTAGCCGTTGTACGTTCTATCGACTGACACCAAGAAACACCAAGAACACGTGCATGAAATTAACCACGAAAATTTCAAATGCTTCGTGTATAGTCATCTCGCGTGCATACAGTTTATAAAGAAAGGAAAAGGACAGAAAAATATCCTGCAAATTACTTTGATTTTGTTGTATAGAAAAGAAAAATTCAATTTCGATTATGGACAAAAAAATTATTTGTAATGCACAGAAATAATTTATTATTTATCTAACAAAGGAGATATTATTTATTATGTTTAATAAATTTGAAAATCAAAGAATCATAAAAGAAGAAGATAGAAAGTTTTTCAAAAGAATTCATCCATGGTGAATTTGAAGATACTATCCTAGAAACTCATAAGATATAATCCAAAAGAAAATATTATAAAATTCGCATAAATTGCTCGGAGGCGATCATTATACTTCGCTTTACAACATTCATAATACGTAAATAACAACGTTGAAGAATTCTGTGGGGGCGTCTTGATACCACCCCAAGCGTTTAGCATATTTTATAAAAGGGTATAGAAGAAAAATAAAGTGAATAGAAATAAAAAAAGAAATAGAAAAAGAGAGAGAGAGAGAGAGAGAGAAAAAGGATGCTCGCTCCCGCTCTCGAATTAAAAATCAAGGATTATGATATTAACTTGAGAGAGAAAAGATGAAGTAGATGAAAAAGAAGAAGAAAAGCTGGACCATCGAGCAATTTTCGGGCAATTTTGTGGCCGACCGCCTTTCCCGCTGCTCCTCCTCATCCTCCTCATCCCTCTCATACTTCTCGTACTCCTTCGAGGCTCACCGAAGGGAAAGGAAATAATGACCAACGCCGTCGGCAACCATATGGTCGTGCGCAACAAAATGTTTCGAACGAGACTCCAAACGTTCTGCCTGTTAAGTATTGACGTACTCCAGATACCACAGCGTCAGCCTCTTCCGGATGATCAATCGAAAGCATCTAGGAAACAAAGAGAAATATTTCTTTCTTATTCGATTTTCTATTAATAATATTTATAATATAATATAATTAATTCTAAAATATATTTATAATATAATATAATATAATTATAAAATAAATTTATAATATAATATAATTAATTTTAAAATCAATCTTAACAAGTAGAAATAGAATTGATCAATCGATAAAAAAATTTTATATATTTTATTTTTCTTTCAGAAAAAGAATTTTTTTCTTAATACTTAATAAATCACACTAATTTCTTTAAAAGCTATCCGACCTACGTTATCTATCTCTCTTCTTCACAAGTATAACTCAAAATGACTTGGAAGCATTCGAAAAGTGAAAACTCGAGGCTCACTCTTAGGTATCAAGCAATTAGGAAGTCCGAAGGTATACCGCAACAAAAGAAGGAAAATAAGAAAAGCTACTGTGAATTAAATAACGTGTCTACCCCAACTATTGACAAAGAGAAAAAGCCAAAAAGGAAAGTTCTTTTTGCCACCTAAACCAAAACCAGTAGTTTAGTTCTAGCCGCTATTGAAGAAGGACAAAGAGAGAGAGAGAGAGAGAGAGAGAGGGAGAGAGAAGAAGGAGAAGAAAACCATTAGATTTACAAGAAGGCAACTGTTCAAAGAGAAAAATATTAACTTTAGTGAAGAATTTTGGAATCATAAATGAAAAAGAAAATCAACTACTTGAGATTTCGTATGATTTAAGATGAGTCAAGTTTATTTTAACTATGAGTACGATCAACAATTCACTTGTTATATGTATATTAAAATATGATTAAAAATTATTTATTTCTTAAATATTATAACATAAATTCGTATAGATCTATGGATCAAAATCTTGAAGACATTTAGACGAATTGAAACAAAGTATTCTTGAGAAATCCTGTTGCAATATCTGTATATATATGCATGTGTGTGTGTGTATGTGTATATATATATATGTATATAATTGGAGATGTTAGAAGGATGAGAAGAGAAGAAACCTTGAAAGCAGTATCCTCTGCTGGTAATAAATCCTGCTTTTAGAGAATTTGTCAAGTTAGAGGGTATCGTTGGATACAGAAGAGAGAGAAAGAAGAGGATACGTAAAAAGGATCTTAGATGTTCAATAGCGATTCGGAAATCTTCTGGTTACCACCTGTCCTCTTCAAAGGAATCGTTTAGAGAAAAATTTTCTTCCTTTTTTTTTATTCTTCTTCTTTGCTAAAAGTTTTTCATGGGAGAGAAAAAAAGAGACAGGATTTAATGGTAAGAATGAAAATTTGTCGCCGCGGCACATTTGACGCGAGAAAAGCAGAGAGAGAAAGAGAGAGAGAGAGAGTGAGAGAGATTGAGCTATTTTGTAAAGGGAAAGAAGAATTTTCTGCTTTGTTAGATACTTTTAAAGAGTGAAAGTAGAAAGGATCCTTCGTAGAAATGTTCCCAGACAAATTATTTTCCTAGGATTATCCATAATCAATTTTGCGCTAAATTTCGTTTCAACTTTCTGTGAAAAGTTTGTTTCTTTGTTAAGCTGAAACTTTTGATTAGTTTGATCGATAAGTTTAGATATTTTTTGTGGAATTTCAGATGCATATTAAAACATTTGTTGAATTGTTTTTTCTTATATCAATAATTTTATTAATATATTTTTTTTTTAGATCGTTAAATTGTTCTTATTTTAAACTTCATTCTTTTATTCGTAGATTAAAATTACAATGATATTACAAATTCATCTTCATCTGTTCGACATCTCGTATTTTGTTGTTATTCCAATTTTTTTTCTATATTTCTTTCCTTAAACTATAATTTTATTTTTATCCAAAAACATTGTAGCAAATAATCTTCTTTTTCTCGCCGGATCTTTCTGAAGAATTCCGACTCGTAGGACGAAAGAAAATATTGTTTTTACTTTTATCTTGAGCACGGAATATCCAGTTTCACGCGAGGAATAGCCGTACGTGGACGGAAGAACAAAAGAGAAGATCTTTGAGAAGAAAACGCGGACAGAATTTCAAATCTTTAAACGGGAAGAGAAAGAGAGAGAGAGAGAGAAACAGAGAAAATAAATGTTCAGGAGATTTTTTTCCACCGATATGATAAGAAAGAAAGAGAAAGAAACTAAACTGAAAAAGATGGACGCGATCTTACGGAAAACCGAAAGCACGTAATCCTTCGTAGCGAGGATTACGATCGATAAACAAGAACGCTTACGAGTGGAGGAGACCCGTGAATACACAGAGACGAATCGTGCAGGAGATCTTACAAGACGATAGAAGAAAAAGAGAGGGAAGAGAGAGAGAAAGAGAGAGAGAGAGAGAGAGAGAGAGAGAAGAATGCGTGGACAGACAAACCGTTCCGGATTATGGATCCTACGAAAACACCTCATACCTCTCGTTTCTACAATAAAATCCCTTCGGAGCGGATTTTGACGGGTCCGAAAATTCTAAGCAGCACAAACACTTGCGTCGTTTTCGAGCAAACCAAGAGGACAACAATCTCATAATCTCTCATGTTTTATTCATATGTGATATAATTGAATCGTGGAATTTCTTTTTTCTAGTAGCGCGTTACGTTTATAATTTCGGCTTAGAAGGATTTTATTTCAATTTTATAATGAAATTTGATTAAAAATATTATTTACTTAAATATGTCGCAATACGTTATCATGTCGCAAGAATCCTATCGTATATTATTTCTATACAATAAATAATTCATATCGGTTCTCTCAAAATAGAGTCGATCCTTCGAAAGAGAAAGATCGATGAGGAGGGCCGTTATCCTAAAGCTTAGGAAAATCTCTATCCAACTTTATTGAATATATAGAATAGAATCGCGTATTCCTTTTGCATAGGGGATCGACCATCTCCAGGGATTCCCTTCACTGTCGGGATGAATTTCCTTGAAACACGTGACAACGCGTGTCAGATACATTTATCGTGAACAATAGAAATATTGCAATTTGAATAGTAAATATTTAATTTTGATCTTTATTGAAAGATAAAATCTCGTGTGAAAGAATGATTTCGTATTTCTTTATGTCAATAATAAATTTTACAAATAATCTATTATCATTTACCTCAGTTTTTAATTCGTTCAAATTATTTCCTATATCTAAATGAGGAAATAACAAAAGTACGGAATGTACATGGTGTCAACATTTCTAATTCTGTTCCTGTAGTCCTGTTTCTTATCTAATGAAAATCCATACAAATCTCAATGCAATTTTTGAAATAAAACTATTGTCGTTTATATAAAATTACTGTCGTGTTATATAATAATGATTTCAAGAATGCAAAGAATTAATCATCTTCCAATTGATAATTGTAAACAATTCATTGGAATAAATAGATAGAAGCGCTAACGTGAAACATCTAACATGATAAAGCAGAGTAGCAGAGTCCAGGTGTGAGAAAAACTCTGGTACAATAAAATGTCATTCTCCATAGAAGTTTGTAGATCCAAACTGAGCGCCACCCCTAAACGTAGCCTAGATGAATGGATCTCTATTCGGTAGGCCTTTTTCTATTGCCATCGGGCATAAACCGGCCGTTTCAAAGTCTATGTCTCTCCCCTCTCTCTCTTACTCTCTTTTCATGTAGGGATGAAACTCGGCTCGTTTAACGTCACGTATATTTCACCCCACAATCAGACAGCGAGACAAATACCCTTATTTGTACACATCCTGTGCATTGTGACGTAGAACGGAGCGCACCCAGAGAATTCGACTTCCGGTTGAATATATATTTCTATCCTTTTTTCTCTTCTCCTATACTTTCCAAACCTTTATTTTCGGAAGCTGGGTGGAGCAAAATATCCTTGGACCATTTTGATCATTTACTAGAATTTCGATCATTCGATCTTATTACGTATTTCTTTTTTATTTCCTTTTCCTTTATTCTTTTTTTTAGAAATTTTCCAAACCCCGGATGTTAATTGAGTATGTAGGAGTTTTTAGACGCTAAATTTGTTTAGATATTTAAAATACGAGGAAACAGACCTTTTTCTATTTGTCATCCTGAAAGAAAGAAATGAGATGATTAGGGACAGGTTTGTATTTTAACTGTAGTGAAATTCTAATAGCTTTCTCCTAATTTCTAAGAATTAGCACGTTGAAAAAAGGCCTTTTTAGCATTTTAGAACTCTCTCTCTAAGTTTGCTTCAAAATGTATTATATATATATATATATATATATATATATATATATATATATATTATATGTATTATATATATTTATATATGTATTATATATATATATAATATATATATATATAATATATATATATAATATATATATATATATATTATCGAAATATACTTGATATATATATTCGATATGTATATTTCGATGTTTCAGAATGACTTCATGTTTGATATTTCGTTAGGACAATGCTGGTTTTATTGTTATTAGGAAACGCTTTTTGCTGTTGAAATTAGGAATTTTAGAAGAGAATGAAATGTGTAGAAGAAAAATGAGAATTAGTTTGGAGAGATATTTACTTTTTTGTTAGGTTTTTACTTTCGCATCTAAAAGAAATAAAATTTCTGGACCACATGTTGGAAACTTTAGATAATTATAAGTAGAAACGTATATTCATAGTACGAGCGTATTAGAAGGAGACTTTTTTCGATTCATAGTCAAGATAAGTAGGGAATTAAATTTAAAAAGAAAAGAAAAAATAAAAAGGGAAATTTTTATAAATGATCTTTAAAATAGAGAATTGCACGTTACTAGTTGAGAATTCTATAATAGTTTTATTCCAGTGGTATAGGAAGAAAAAATAATGTAGCATTAGGGAGAACATTGGGATAGGTACGGTCTGACTGTACAGTACGGTCAACCATATGCCGAGGGACGAGTTCAGGCTAGAAATAATTATAAGGGATGCTATAGCAGTCTGCGAAGGGTGGGGGAGTGAAAATAGAAGTAGTGGGGAGACCGTAACCTATATAAGGAAGCTTCCAACGATGGAAGGGTCGCAGTTGGAAGGAATTTTTCAAGAGCATCGTTTCCAAACGTGTTTTAACAGATTCGAATATTTCGAGGTAGTGAACTCGTTAGAAAAAATTTATTGAGTGTGAGAATTAAAAAATTTAACTCGACATGGAAAACGTTTCATGGCTGATAATTTTAAGTTTGTGCGCGAGTCTCGTTAATTGTTTGGATCTCGGTCCGGTCGTTAGGATCGCACAGTGTAGATCACAGTGTCTTAAAAGATATAGCACCGATGGAACGTGCGATTGGTTCTCGAGTCGACCAGAAAACATTTGCAGTGAGGTAATATCTATATTATTATATCTTTTCTTAATCTAAATTCTAATATCTTTTCCATTTATTTATTTTTTTTTATTGGATACATATATAATTTTGTTTTAAAAAAACGTAAGCTCATATGAGAAATTCGAAATAAAATGAAATGTAATATAAGTATATCCTTGCTTAACTAGAACGATATCATCAGCGCCCTCGTGATAAAATTAGATTACCTTAAAGAAAATAAAAGTAATTCCGTAACAAGTGTTTTTCATGTTTCAAGACCAACGTCATCCCTCTTATTTACGAAATAGATCAAAGTATGCTTATCTCAAGAAAATAGGAGAAAATAGGATGTCTAAAGTTAAAAATAAAACGAAAGGAAAACAATTTCCAAAATGTTATAATGAAGAAGTACTTACTTTTCGATCGTGTTTGAAATCGAATAGGGTCTCTCAAAAGGATGATAAATCTTTTGGTGTTCGGTTTTATGGGGCGTCATGGAAAATCATGATGGTTCTATGACTCTCCCTTATTTTTAGTAAGAATAGTCATTGTTCCCCTATCGATGAACAGATGGAAATCTCGATTAACGAAGGGCTCGTACAATAATAGAAAATCTAGTCAACGATCGATCAAATATCGATCAAAAATCTAATCAAATATCGATCGAGACAGTTTGATAATATTCATCAAACGTTATCACGAATCATTACATTCATTTATAAATAACAATTCTTCTAAAGGTAGGCATCTAAAGGAATACTCTTCCTCTTTCTCTTTCGAATTAAAAGAATAAAAGAAAAAAAAAAGAGAGAGAGAGAGGAGGAAGAGGAATATGTCCGAGAGCGTTCATTAATTTCGAGGGAAATTGATGTTACTGTGCGTGCTCGCATGCGTTAAGAAGGTGCGACGACGACAACGATCCATTCATATTTATACTAAAATAGAAAGAGGGTTCTGCATTAGAATAACAATCGTAACCAAGAACGAAGAAGGCGATGCTTTAACGAGGGACATGTCATCCAAGCAAACCTACCCCTAAAACGCCCCTATAATGACGATTATCTCGCTATCCTTGCCAATTTTCACGGCTTTTTTTTTCGTTACGCCCTTCGTTTTCACCTTTTTTCAACCTATTTTATTTGTATAAATATTTGTTAAACATATTCATGATGGAAAAAAGAATAAGAATGCAAATAGATTACCTACATTGCATATAACCTGAATATTACAATAATAGTAATTACATTAAAAGTATAATAATATTTTATAACGATATTTCTAGTATTTTAGCAATAGTATTACTTATAAAAAACTATAGTAATAGTAAGTTAATAAATAAAAAATAATAGTAAGTTAGTAAAAAACAATCGTGATGCCCCATGCTGTTTCATAAACATCCTCAATACAAAGTAAAGGGAGAGAGAGATGTGTGGGGGGAGGGGGGTAGAAAGAGTCTATAGCGTTTTCTAACGAAGAGTTCAAAGTCTCTTGGCAAGAGAAGAGGGACGTTCGGAGAGGAAAGAAATTGAGGAGAGAGGGTACCCCAATAAATATAAAGACAACAACGACAGTGCCTGTTAAGCTGGAACAGGTTGGAGCTAATTCGAGCCACCTTCCCTCTCCTCCTCATCCTTCTCCCCGTTTCTTTCCTCTCGATTTCGTCCTCTCTTTCCTTCTCAACAACCACACCGCTGATTCAATGGCCTGCCTCCTTTAAGGTTTCTTATTTCTTTCTTTCCTTCTTCAGGATTCTTTTACCTTACTCTTTTTCTTACATATTAGCTGTGTTAGGGCTTTTTACTTGCACGAGAGCCGATCTTCTCTTCAACACATTCTCTTATTTTTCTCTGTTACAGTGCTGGCAAAATTGCGAGGCCGTGGAAAAACGATGGGAGGAAACTAGTAAAACTATTTGCGAAGGCGAACACTATACTCAAGTATGCGTTTCTTTTATTTATTCTTACAAACTTTCCAATTGTCTGACTTTGAAATGAATGTCGGAAATTTTTGTGAAAAAGAGAAAGAAAAAAAAAGAAAAGAAACTGTTAAGGATGGGATGAGCAATGAAGTGAAAAAAGATCTCTTATGCTTGTCAAAAATAATCTCATGGGATTTAAAGAAAAAAAAGATCATAGTTGGTATGGAACCCCTGTTCGTAGGAATCTAAAGATCCTTCGATCTTCCGAAAAATAGACCGAGAGCATTCGAGCCGTTTGAGCGTTTAGTCTCGTGCTCTTAGAATCCTTAGAAACGTCTACCTGTCGATTTTCACGGAAGATCGAACGTACTTCAGTAGAAAATCGTTTACGAGAGAGATGCACGATCTTTCGGAAAGATGAAAATTTTTGGCTAAAAGCTTAGTCCTACTTTCTTTTTTCTTTCTTTTCTAATCTCTTTTTCTGTTATCTCGAATACGAAAACTTTTATAAAATTGTTAAATTTCTTTCTTTAATGCATGATTCGTTTGAAATTTTTTAGAGGAAACGATATTGTTCTAAAAGTAATAGAAAAATTACTTTATTCCTTTTTTTATTTTTTATTTGCGAATTAGATGATCGCGCGCATAATAAGGACTACGTAATGTTTTGTAAATTCACAATCATATGCATTTAAAATAATAAAATTGGAAAATTTTGTTCCTACGAAAATAATTATACACACATTTGTATTAACAAATTATATTATACAACTTATATAATTATAAAATTATTATATATTAATAATATATTAATTATAAAATTATTATATATTAATAATATATTAATTATAAAATTATATATATTATTATACAACTTATAAAATTATATTATACAACTTATATAATAACAAATTATATAATTACAGTGTCCAGCTTGTCAGATAGCATGTTCCTATCGAAAAACGAGAGTAGCAGAAAAGTATCTCCCCTCGATGTTACCAGCACCAAAAAAGGGTCCAATAAACTTGGACAATTTCGATGTGGCCATAGTGATGCGAAAAGTACATAAACAATGGAAAGACACAGGTTATTATCCAGGTGGAAGAGTACCAAATCTCCGACCAGACACTTGGATAATCGTTGTTACAGAACAAGGTATGAAGCAATACAGTTGGCAAGAGTGGGTGCCTACTTTGGAGTGTTTGAAGGAAGGATTATTGTACGAGGCTACTGTGTCGTGGAAAGATGTATCGATACAGCTTAGAAAGCAACAAGATCTTGAACAAAAGAGATTCAATGATAGAGTAAGACAATTCTTTCTTGAAAAATATGGTGAAAAAGTTTTAACAGAATGGAGGAGCCAAGAGGATTCACAAATTTCCGAAGAAGTCTTTAGGAGATTTTTCTTCAGAAGGAAGGACGAACGTAACGATGAAGTTCTAGAAGCCGATGGTAGTCCATCGACTAATGGCAACTCCTTCGAAGATTTAGTCATCGAAAAAGATGGGTTCTCGAAAAAAAAGGAATCATATATAGTATCCTGGGAACCAGAAACTGGAGGTCTCATCGGCAATCAAGTAACAGATTCCAACTCGGTTCAAATCTCTCTTTTTCCTGGTACCAAATATCTCGTTAGGATAGCATCGAACGAAGGTCCTGGTAGTTTCCCCATCGAGGTCGATACCAGGCCGGGTTCCATCCAAGTCAAACGAGTGAAGAGAAATTTCCAAGATTTATATCCCTGGGATGTCTCTGCTGCCTGTATCTCCGCCGTGATCATAATCTTTGCTATTATTATCGCAAAGTTTTTAAGAAAGAAGAAGAAAATAAACGTCGAAGACGTTTAAATATAATAATTTTTTCTTTACTAAGGATTTGGTCAGACCCAATTGACTTTATTGTCGTCGATAACGCGATAACATATTTGGGATATTTAAGTGTTGCATGTGTCTTGTCGTTTGTCGACAAGCTGAGACTATATGATAAACAGCAGTGAACGTACAAATATTACTCAGGAGATTTAGAATAGAAAAATGAGATATTTTTTTACGTCGTAGATTATAATAGATAATGAATTGATCTTATTCAAGTTTGCAACGAACAAACTGTATAAAAGAGTTCCTATGACGTAGACAAGAAATCTGACACTCGTTGTCAGTGCATCAAGCTGTGTATTTATTTGTACATAATCAATATAATTATTATGTAAATAATTTCAGAAATATAGAAACTTTGACTGTATGTTTAAATTTCTAGAAGTATAAGAAATTATTACATAAGAAATTTGTAATTATTTTTATTTATAATATATATATATATATATATATATATATATATATATATATATGTTTGTATGTATATAAATGGCAAAATACATGTAATAATATCGGAACAATTATAAAAATTCATATAGTTGCTGAAACGGCAAATGATTTAATCATATCAGAATAGATCGAAGAAGATGATAAACGTTTTCAGGATTGTTAAGCGAGTTCATCGACCCTTCCTGAACGAATAGTAAAATCCAGTGGAGTCGACGACACGTTTCATGTAGAGATAGACACGCGCACATTCGTACGATAACGGACACACGCTTATTCTTAGGAAAGTATGCCGTGACCTCGAACAAGGTCCCGTTATCCAAGGCAAAGCCTTGATCGTCTTCGTCCTCAGTCTTGACTCGGTAGTCAAGCAAAGATGCTACTTCCTATTCTTGCTTGTTTAAGCCTCTTAATTGGTCACCGTGAATTTGTTCCAACGAACAATGGAATTATCATAGGGACAACAACTATTTTTGGACTTGTCACGTTACCTTATGGTTTTGCTGCTGGACCTAGGTACGTTCGATACATTTCTAACATTTAATTTCTACTTGTTGTGAGGAAAAAGAAATTTAAGAGGATTAGGATCGTTTAAAGCGGTCTGTGAAAATATTTTTAAATATTTTTATTAATTAAAGATATGTTCCAAAATGGAAGAAACAAGCTTGTGAGATTCCAGCGTCTCAGCATCCAAATTCTCATTACGTTTGTGACGAAGCTGGTGAAGTGAAATGTTTGTTAGGTAAGTCATTATTTTTAAATAGATAAAAAAAGTACACGATACCTTTCGATAAATCTAACATAATGACCGATACGATAAAGTTATAGATATATCGACCACTTTTTAATTTATCATTTTAATCATAAATAGGTTGGACCGGTGATCTTTGTGATGTACCAATCTGTCGAAAAGGCTGCGATCCCCTTCAAGGTTTTTGTCGACGTCCAGGTGAATGCAGGTGCAAGATCGGATTCTATGGTGAGCTATGCGACAAATGTGTGGCTCTACCTGGTTGCCAGCATGGAAGGTAAACCCGCATACGTACATTGCTTGGTTATATGAACTTTCTCTTAAAAAAAATAATATTACTAAATGACACATACCAAACGATCTTTACTAATCCGTCCAAGTACTTTTACACAACAGATACTCATAGAAATCAAATCTCTCATTGTCGACTTGTGATATTAATTTTCTATAACTATCGTGACCATCAATCGGGAAAGTAACTTCTCTTTCTAACGACGATCGATTGTCTTTATCAGGTGTAACGTGAGTTTCGAATGTGCCTGTGATCCCGGATGGAAAGGATTGTTCTGTTCCGAACCGATCTGTGCTCAGGATTGTTTATCGAGTCAAGGATATTGTAACAAGCCAGGAGAATGCAGGTATGTTCTACCGTATCATCGATCATTTTCTGTTGGTAATGAAGGTAGCCTACCATATCGGGAGAAGTCAAATATTTTTCAGAGCCTACTTTGCCCAAGCAAATATTTAACGTTCATGAGGAATTACAAAAGTGACAGTTGAAAAATAAATATCCATGAAAATTTGATATAGGTGCCGGTTAGGCTGGCAAGGACCAAAATGCAAACAGTGCGCTGTTTTACCAGGATGCGTTCATGGAACTTGTCAAGGGCCATTGGAGTGTCGATGTGAGCCTGGCTGGACTGGATTATTGTGTCAGACTCGTAAGTGATTTGTTTTTAATAATATCCATATTCCATAATATTCATATTCATATTCTCAAGATTATTTTCCTTTTGCATAGCCATCTGCGCGCCAGGATGTAGCAAGGAACACGGTGGATGTCGTCGACCTGATACCTGCAGATGTCGTGTCGGCTGGACAGGTAAAAATTGTACCGAATGCGTACCATATCCAGGATGTATGCACGGTTCCTGTAAAAGACCATGGGAATGTAGATGCGAATCTGGTTGGTCCAGTGATCTTTGCGACGAGAAATTAACTTATTGCGAGGATCATTCTGATATCTGTCGAAATAACGGGACTTGTGTCAGCATGACACCGGAAGACGGTGATTACAGGTATAATTGTATTTGTATCGATTATTCAATGTCATTGGAATTAAACACGTTATTACGTATTATCACAAACAGGTGTATTTGTCCGATCGGTTACATTGGCCGTCAATGTCAAATTAAAACGACGGTACCGTCTACCGAGTTGACACCTCCCATGCCGGATCCCGGATCAGATTTATCAATCGATCCGCAAAGAGTATCGGTCAAGCCTGAAACTGTTGAAAATGGAAATGTCAGTGAGGAAATGGAAACTGCCGAACCGCTAGGCCCTATAGTGATCACCGATCCACCTTCGACCATTGATCCTTCGGCAACAGCAGGAAAATGGCCGACTGAGTCACCAACCTATTCACCATCCATCGAAGACGATGAAGAAAACGAGACGTGAAATGCAATACTTTTGCCTCTTTATTTATTTATTTATTTATTTATTTATTCTTTTATTTAATCATTCATTCTCATGATTGCACACGCATACATATTTAGATATTATTTAGCTATATCCGATGTACCTACATATCTATATATAAAATGAAAGTTATATCAATTGACGTGGGTAAACGATAATACGATATAAGCTTTGTTCGAATAACTGTTCGGTAAACTGCGTGGGCGACGTGAGAGAGATCGTTCGAAGATTTTCCGCGTCCGCAATCGCTTTCTCAAAATTCGCTTGCATCGCGGACCATGATCGTTACTTTATCTTCGACGGCTAGGTTGTAAATGGTACATACATGTACGGTATTCAAAGGAGTACAACGCGCTGCAACGTTCGTCGTCACGCTTCAACGATCACGCTCTGCCGATTTAGCGATACGTACATAGTCAACTATAGCTATAGGGTGGTACATTTCAATGAATATACTTCAGTATTTTATTCTATTCGTCAAATTTAAAATGGTCATTTGGAATAGTCAAGAAGAAATTTGTACTTTTTAAAATTTGTCATACAAACATTTTTAAACATTTTCCTTTTCTCTATAGAAAAAGAGAGAGAGAATAAAAAAATAACATTAACAATTCGTTAATTTGATGAAATTATTCCATAATGAAAATGTATATTTTTACAAAAGTAAATATTAGTATAGGTAACATATAAAAGAGTTCCTACTAAAAAATGTGCCACCCAATATAATCGAAGCGTGCATCCAGATCTCGCTACCCACGTAATACTATCGACTTACATAACACTTTTAACCAAGTCGTGCTGGCACACCATGGTGCTGGTAATCGGAACAGAGGACCCGGCGCCTCTCTTCTTTCACCAGACTGGAATTGCTGCTTTCCACGCCCGAATAACGAGCAATGTCGAAGAATTAATGGCCACCTTGTTTATAACTGGAGCAATTTTTTCTCAAGTTAAGTCCTGATAATGTATAATACATATACTTTTCAATTTCTTAAATACTCGAGATCATCGTTATTTATTCATGAAAATTAAGACAAAGAAAACTATCAAGAGGAAAATTATTATTTTGAAATTTCAGAAATGCTACGAATTTTTCCATTTCTTAATTAACATAATTTTATATAAAATTTTATTTTAGGTTAAACGCAGAGAGAGAAAGAGAGAGAGAGAGAGAGGAAGAGAGAGTTTGAATATTTTTGAATGACCCGGAACGATAACGTTTCCCTTATTTATTTCGATTATGCGTTCTATTACGTAGAATAATGAGTCGATAAAAAAGATCGTTTGATAGTCCAAGTACTTGATACACACGAAATACCGGTTATGGCGTCGTTTTATCGATCGAACGCCAAGCATGCCAATGAGAATTCATTTCTCTTCCGCTTTCGCCAAGGAACGGTAGATTGATCGATCGACCAAGAGCGAAATAAACGATTTTCCTCGATTATAGGATTCATGGAATACCTATATTTCAATCATGATCTTATCACATAGTATGTCGTATCCCAATCGATCATCAGAGTACTATCAAAAAGAGAAAGAAAATATAAGGATCTAGATCGATCGATACTTATAAAACATTGAATCGTTGAAGATTTTCCACGGAAAATTAATTTATGAACGATATATAAAAAATATATTTATTATTATAGATATAAAAGGAAAAGTGGAAAGTGCATCAATCGATAACGTAAACCGATTGGTTACTTCTAGAGCGAAACGACCTAGTTTCTATAACACGCACGATTCTAACGAATAACGACACACATTACGTATGTATCAGAAAACGAAGAACGCGTATGCAAGGAATGCATATATACACACACATACTTACATATACTTACATTAAACACCTTCCCTTCGAATATTTCCTTCGAGATGACAACATGAGAAATCGACTTTCGATGTTAAACTCATTGAAATTGGTTGGAAAAAAACAAAAAATATACAAATTAGTACAAATGTGTTTGTATATATATCTATAATCAATATAGGTATTCCAATACGTATTCCAACATTATTTTTTTTTATATTTTATGAGATGCCACGATATCGTAAAAGAGAGAGACAGAGAGAGAGAGAGAGAGAGAAAGAGAGAGAGAGGACTTTGTAAGTTGATTTCCCTTTCGATCAACTCGCCCTTCGAATTCCACCAGATCCCCTCTCTATCGATCTTTACCCTCACTTTTAGATCGATTAACGAACATAGTGAAAATCTACACGACTTCCAGCGATATTAGAGCGACGGAGGAGTAACCGTGAGATCTAGACTCACCTTTCGAACGATCGAAATCGAATTAATAGAATGCTTGAGCTTGGGAAACTTGCTCTTATGTCGTACTCATTATTTACGAGAAGCTGTATTGCGTATCGTTAGGTTTTATCTAGAACAATCGTAAAAGACAGAGAAATAGGATTAGTATTAGAGAATACAAGGTAAACTAGAATAAAAGAGGATCGTATCTGAATGAACGTGTTTATTATTGGATCAATGATGATTAGCGTTGGATTCTTTTATAGATAAATATGATCTACTTATGCTGATAATCGAAGTATAGATAACTTTTTTCTTCCAATTAGAATATATAAAAATCGGTCGAAAAATAATTAAAAACGCGAATGTATAAATTTTTTTTTCGTTTGAATTCGACATTAATTGATATTAATGACGTCATAGATGGAATTTAAAAAATATTTAACAGTAAAATAAGGCGTAGTAAGTTTGAATTTATTAAAGTTTATCGAGCGTAATTGCGTAGAACCTTCCATCGCATTGAGCTAATATTAAAATGGCATGACTTTTAATTCGTCATATACCAGTTTTAATGCAACAACTTAACGATTATTATCATTATCCTAACGAGAGGTTATATACCAAACTTACCTATAGATATATCTATAGATTACTACCGGGTAAAATGTATTTCCTGTTATCGTATGTGTGCCTTGTTGAATTATTTTGTCGTTCATAAATATTGTGTAGAATTCAGCAACTCCTCGATTAAACTCTCTTGTCTTCTCGTGATATTGATTACGATCGTATTAGAATCTTACTAACATGAGAGAATGGAAAGTAAAGGGACGCCGCGATAAAATGGAGTGCAACGAATTGGAACGGAACGATTCTAACAATAAATACGGATTCGATTAAACGCAACAAAAATGGGAGAAGCGTAAAAATTAGAAACAATGTCTTCGATAACTGAACGAGCTAATAAATTTTTTAAATAAACAAATACGTTGATTCAATGAATTGGATCAAATGAAAAGTCAATGTTTCATTTTTTAAATGTCCGATCTAATTCTTTTTCTTCTCCTTCTTCTTCTTCTCCTTTTCCTCTTTCTTCTTTTTCTTCTCTTTCTCCTTCTCCTTCTTCTGCTCGTTCTCCTTTTTCTTCTCTTTCTTCTCCTTATCATCATTATTGAAAATTTTAGATTTATGCAAGATTGTTATAGAAGTCAATGCGTTAACAACCTAGCATTATTTATTATATCTGTTGCAGGCTATGGAACTACCAGCATTATAATCGTTACGTAACTGATACGAATTATCACGTTCGTTAATCAACGTTTAAAGCAGAGACTATGCAATGCTTGCAATGTCGATCCTATCGATGCACTTTAATGTGCTCTCTAATAAGTATCGTTTTATCTTTTTTTTCACGGTCAAATTAATCTTTGATTATAGTTTTCTCTTTCCCCTATAGCTCAGGGATAGGATATATCCATATTATACTAATTTATCGACTAATAGGGATGGAGTGTTTTCCTCATAAAAACGACAACCTTGCAAACGAGGAAAAAAATCTGGACTGATTACTAGTGCAATTTCCCGTAGGAGGAACGAGTCCTTGGATAGACACGAATATTTTTTTCGTTAGTAATATGTCGTACTATTTTTTATATAGGTACCTACATACATATTCGTTATTGAGAAATCATATAAAAATAAAATTATCATAATTAGTATAATTAATTAATATTAAATTTCTCGACAGATTTGAATCCTCCAAAATCGCGTAATTAAAGATGAAATCGCTATAATTTATTGCTCCAAAGTATCTAATTATTTTTTATTAACTATCTATTTGTGTGTGTGTTTGAAAATAATGATCATTTATTTTTCAAACAATGACGCAATAAATATAGTCTTTGCATCGTGACCATTTAACTTTCGTAAATCGAAATCTACGAGTATTAATTTATTCGAGACTCTAACGCTGTTAGAAACATTACAAGAGATTTCATCAGATCGATTCTACGAATTCTAAACACTTTATAACTCTCGAATTTAATCCAAGATTAAAAAAAAAATACATACTCGAGTAACCGTAGTTACATTACGTTTGCTTTTGTTGTCTTTCACGTTATCTCAATAAAATATTAATTAATCTCTAATTATCCACGTAAGATCTATGGAAAATCGAAGATTTTTAGTTATTAATTTTTTTTTTGTGATAATGTGTCATCAATAGCATTCATCAATGAATGTTCCTAAAAGTTCTTAAGGTGAATTAAAATAATTAAAACAATTACCCAATTTTTTTTCGAAACTTTTCGGACTAGATTTTTATTTTTTTTCCCTAGATTGTAAAACCAATAACATTTCGTCCAGCCAAATAAGATCTATAACCTGAAGCGTTAAAAAAGGAAAAAGAAAAAAAGGTGAGCGAAGGAGAAAGAAAATACATCTTAATCGAGAAACAAGCCTCCGGCAAAATTCGAGAATCTTAAAATATCATAGACGTCTATAATTTATCGTAAAGAAGTTCTCTGTCATGGTCGCGATTCAGATAAACTCATACAAAACACGTTTGCCGTTAACCTTGCTATTGTTCCGCAAAGTTGACCCCATAGACGGTCAACGAGACCGTCGTTTAACAGGTTTCACATTAGAAAACGATAGACTTTGATAAAAGCCTACCAGAGGTAATTCAGACCTACCGTAGATCCATAGATCGATTTATTCACGTCGATTTCTTGATTTACGAACTACCTTATGGTTTTGTCATTACGTCACACCTACCGACGTCTCTTTCTCGCTTTAACGTGAAAGTAAAATAGAAATAAATTGTTTAATAAATATATTTATCCAAATAAAATATATAAATATATTTATTCAAATAAAATATATAAATAATATGTGCAATTAAATAAAAAAAAGACAAACAATAAAAATAACGAAACAATTTTTTAATCTTTTTATCATTTATTATACTTGCAAACTTGCATTAGGAGGATAATTGTTTTTATTCGAATTTTTCAATTTAAAAATTCATCTAATATTTTTCTTGTAATAAAATTTGCATTATATAATATTTACGATTAACAATTATTATAAATAATATTATTATAACATTGTTTATATAATATTTGATTTGATTCTGTAAGTGCACTTAACGAAGAAAAGTAAATTCACATACCACATAAGTATGATCCATAAAACAACTGACTTGTTTAGTGAGGTCAAATATGTAATAAATCAAAAATTCTCTTGGACGTATCTCGAGTAACGATCACGTGGCAAATGATCTCTTTCGTGACGAAAATCATATATATAGATAAACAATTAATACCTACGCACTTAACTCACTAACGGGAGTAAATATTGAAGAATCGGTTTTTTTCTTTTTTCTTTTTTCTTTTTTCTGTTTTTCTTTTTTTTGGTTTCTCTTTTTGTTACTTTCACCATCGGAATCGAGCGAAGTCCCGTCACCGTTAGAACCAGTTCTTCTGAATTTTTCAATTCCTTCGGACTCTGACTCAACATCGGCCGGAAAATATTTTACGAGTTAATTTAGGCTTTTTATAAATAATTAAATTAAAAATGTTTTTTATTATATACGGAATAATATATACGAAATATAGTCAATGATTAATTATAAATATAATATACGGGGTGCAATAAGTAATAAATGATTGAAATTGCGTTTAAACTGCATTTAAAAATTGCTGATGATCTAAAGAGTTACATTTGAATAAATCAGGCCTCTACACATTAAACATATCTGTCGATTATGCATTATATATTAAAAGGGTTAAGAATGGTATCATTTAATATTTGAGCCATGGAAAAATTCATTTACGTCGCTGATGTTCGAAACTGACAAAAAAATACATTCGGCCCAGAAAAGTCCTTGCAAGGAATGCAATGAATCGTTACATCATCAAGTTGTCCAATCTCCAAAAGAGAAAGAAAGAGGAAGGAGATAAGGCTTTTGAGATGACTCGTTTTCCACTAAATTCAAGTTGATCCAAATTGAACACGTTCGCACGTAGTCTTACGTAAAACGGATCTCAGATAGACAGAATTGACGATAGAATTCAACGTTCGGATATTAATTTGTTCGTTTATTTCTATTATTTTCATTTTATCTGACACTTGTATCAATACATCGAAGTAATCCATCGAATTGATGATTTTGAACATCGTTGAGATCATATCATTCTATTTAATCAAAGTAATTATTTTATAAAAATATAAATAATATCGTATCGCATTTTTTCATTTTAATAAACTCGTATATTTAAAAAAATATTTATCGAAAGATAAAATTTCTTTTTTCGCGGTGCAAAACGTTACATAATTTATGAATATAATATTGACAAGAGAATATATTTTTACTCGACTCGGTCGGAAGTTCGATATACCTTTTGTGGTTGTTTGAACCCACAATGATCGAAGTAACGGAAGTCGATTAAGAATATCGATGTTAATTTGATATCTTTGAAGGATATTTAAAATTTTGTTCTTTCTTTTTCGTATTAAATATCTTTCGTTATCGAGTTTATCGAGATTAGCTAGTGAGTCAAGTATTTCCTTCTTTATAATTCCAAGTCGATAGACTGGAAATCGATCGTTAGATCGATCGATAGGCTTAAAACTTATAATGATTATGACATCGTTAGCGAAATATTTTTACGAGTTGTTCTTTCTTTTGAACGTAGTTGTTCAGATGGAAAAATATTGAGCAATCTTGCGCCTGCGATTAATAAATAATTAATATCTGTTGGATAGTAGTGAGGAAGAAGTATGCAAGGTAGCAAGACTTTATGATATATGTATTTGTGATCATGGTTTGTTCGTTTATTAAAAAAAAAAAAAGAAAGAAATGAAAGGTACAAAATACCCATCGCAAGCTTTCATGCTAAATGCAAATACGTACTCGATTGATCAGTAGGAAATGATCAACTTTCTATCGATTAGTTTATCTCGTATTTGTATCTTATCTACATTCTCACTTTTGATTAATTTACCTTTTCAGTTTATTTAGTTTATATGAAATATTATACAAGATTATAATTTGAGAAATTATTTTCACACAATTCATATATAATACATCTAATAATTAATATAATTTTTGTATTTTCTACATTATATCTACATTAAAAATTGTGATTTTTGATTAAAAATCATTATAAGATAATACTAATAAAAAAGGGTAGGTAATATAAAAGAGTGTAACGTTCTCACCATGAATTCGCCAGAAATTCACACGTGCGTGACCAGATAAAAGTTAGCCGATACGGTTCGCCGTATTTATCTATATAATGGAGCATTCTCTCCATGAAAACGGATCTGGTATATATGTATATATCGGACAAGATTCAAAGTTGTCGTGAATGGTGCAAGCAAAGTAGCGAGCTAAGACTGCGACACACCTCCCTCGACCATTTCCGGTCTTAGATCGAAATATCGTTTATGCAATTCGATCTATATATGTACGTATGTATGTACGTATGTACATAATTACTATTTCATATTGAAATAATCGATATCCTATCGAAAAGAGATGATTTAGAAAAATAATCGATTGTTTCCAAGAAATCTTTACTATTCGATCCGCTCGAGAAATCTTTCGAAATGAAAGATCGGATCGAATAGTAATTAACGTTCAATCGAATAAATAACTTGTTTACTTCCAGAACTCTGAAAAGATTGAAAATGATTTTAACTCTTACATCAGAAAATCTACATAGATATGAGCAAATAATTGTATTAATCTTCTCATAGAAAAGGTGAAATATATGTAATCTCGAAATAAATCAGATGTATATTAGGAACGTCTTACGAAATCGATCATCGTCGTTGTATCATTGCGTGCTCGATACTCCATAAGAAATTGACAAACACACGCGACTAACAGACTCTTACACATCGCTGATAATTACATTTTGCACGCTAGTTAACGTTTGTTCTACCGAGAACGGAGAAGCTTTTAAACTAGGCCTGTCCGGGTCTAGAGATATGGCTTACTAATTCAATCGCAGATTTCGTGTCCGATCTGTCGAACTACATTTAAACATTTGTTCGAAACCAATGAACCATTAAATCTATCGAAAAGATTTTTGTTAGAATAATAGAATCAGAAAAGAAAATCCTGTATAATCATAATATAATTGATAAAATATCAAAAAACAATTATCCTTTCTTTTTCTTTTTCTCCTATTTCTAAGCACAAATTTTATTCTTTAGAATAGGATTACGTCAAACATGAATAACGTTACAGAATCTATGTATTATACATTCGTATCGGCTGACGTAGAAACTCTTATCTTTCTAAGTCTCCCACTTACTAGCGTGAGCGTATCGCTTTAGTAAGTCAGTCTCGTTCTTCGTCTTCTTTTACGATCGAGACACGAGTATGACTTTCTATCTTGACGTTCAAACGCGTCTAAATTTATCTGACTGTATATCATCGATTGTTTTCTTCCTTCTTTCACTACCCCTATAAAAAGAAAAAAAAAGTAAGACAAAAAACAAACAAGTCGGTTTAGTCCGAATAGTTTCTTAAAATCTGCATCTCGACGCATAGAGACGAGAAAGAGAGAGAGAGAGAAAGAGAGAGACGTTAATTTCGAGGAATGCAAAGATCATAACCGATAATCAAACGTGTCCAGGTTTCACATTAAAGAACCTAACTTGATCACAAACTTCGAATTATATCACGCTTTCTAAATTTTTGATAACGAATTCTCTTTTTTTTTTTCTTTTTTACTTAATTATCCTATGCGATTACTATACTTGAAAGATAAAACATATCATAACAATCGATATAATGAACTTTAGAGAAAACTTATTATTTGATAAGAAGTGATAATTCAAATTTGTTGATCCTTCGATACTTTTCAAATTTAAAGATCAACCGGTTTTTTCTGATATTCTAATACGTTTTAAATCGAATAGTAATAGTAAAATTAATTACTTTTAGACACGATTCGTGATTAACTTATTTCTCGAAGAGTCTGATTCGACGAATTGACCGAAATAAATATATTCGCACAAATTCGCATGGTTATTTGTCGACGAAATCAAATTTCTTTTGTTTCTTCTTCGATCGATATTATTTGTAATAATTTTCATTAAACATAATCGTGACCAATTAATATTTGCTATAAACCACCATTCGTTGAAAGTTCAGTTGAAAAAAAAAAAGGAAAAGAACGGAAAATGTCATGTATGAGCTTAAAATCACTCTTCAAAATTAATAATTTATTAGTTTTATTTTTAGCTAATCAATCAAGAAAATGAAAACATTTTCAAATAGTAGTAGTAGTAATTGCACAGGATATTTGTAAACAATGGTACAAAAAATGATAGTTGTAGGTACTCAACCAACATAATCGATGTACTTTTATCCAAGATAACTAATTTACTCTTGCAGCACGATATTTTTTATCAATTAGCTATAAAAAGAAAATTAATTTCATATCTACCATTTTTACATTTAACACAAATAAACAAATAAAAGGTAAAGGAAAAGAAATGGAAAAAAGAGAATGGGAAGACGTAGATGTGATCGAGAAAAGAAAATCAATAGATTTACGATTAAAAAAGAATCGACCGATTGGTACTTAGCTCGTTCACGTATATGCATAAAATGGCTGATCGTTGACTTAGCTATGCAAAATAGTCATATGTGCCCATAAGAATCGATAGTACAAGTAAACATAATATACACAGGCACATGTGTGTATGCGTAATACACATCATCAAAAGCAATACACGTTTATTTAGTTATACAACCAAGGTATCTCTAACGTACGTATTATGTATTATAATATGTAATAGGTATATGGATTCTATGGTAGGTAAATAGAGGCGTGAGGTAGGTGTGGCGATGGTTTAACGCACGGCCATTGGCTTCCTATTGGAGGGGTGTACGTGTGAAATGAAAGTCGATTCCCTATATAAAGGGTGGTTTTCTTCGTATACGACAGAAACCGATTTAATTTAGCAAACGAGACTTGGTACACAGTCGATCAACATGAAGGCTTTGGTAGGTTAGAACTATTGTGCAGAAAAAAGATATTAACCAGCAACGATATATATCTGAATTATAGAGAGAAAAACAAAGATACTCGTGTGTTTCTAGATTTGCTTGATGCTGATTTCCGTGGCATATGCCAGTGAGAAAGCAGAAGAAAATGTAGAAGAAAAGGCAATTAAAAAACGTGGACTATTGGGTCTTGGATTGGGATATGGAGGAGGTTATGGGGGTGGTTATGGAGGTGGTTATGGGGGTGGTCATGGTTACGAAGCTGGTGCCTCCGTTGCAATTGCTACTGTTCCGGTAGAAGTACCAAAGCCATATCCAGTTGCTGTTGACAGACCCTACCCAGTGAAGGTGAGTCTTTGAGATTTTGTCAAATCTCAGCGAGATTTGTGTCAAATTTATTAATAAACAGCAAGAAAAATTGTCGAATATTATTTGATGATTTTAGGTGCCAGTTCCTGTCCCGCAACCAGTGCCAGTTGCTGTTCCTGTTGACAGACCTTACCCAGTTGTTCAGACCAAGACCGTGACGGTTCCAGTTGACAGGCCTTATCCTGTCTCTGTCCCTGTTAAGGTACCAGTACCTGTACCTGCACCTTATCCAGTCAAGGTAAGCTCTAATAATCTTGACAAATATTAACGTTATAATTATTAATAAAAAGTTATGCCAATCTCTGGCTGTTGAATCTGTTTATATTAATTAATAAATATTTCAGTTATCTCTTATATATATAAAAAATTTGTTAATCTTTTAAGTATACAGAAAATTATAGAAATAGGACTATACTATATATTTGTAAATGAGCAATAAAATATACAAACATTAGAATACTAATTGATATAATGTTATTAATACGTATGAATAAATTAATTATAAATCTTCTTTATAATTTATTTACAGGTACCAGTGGCTCAGCCAGTACCAGTCCCAGTAGCTCAGCCAGTTCCAGTCGCGGTTCCACAACCTGTCGTCGTCAAAGAAACGGTCCCCGTTCTTCTTAAGGGCGGTTATGGTCATTACTAGATGAAATTTTTTCCTTCTTTTCTATCTTCGTCTATCCCATATTTCTAAACTCCTTGCCTAACATCCAAACATCGCAAAACATCTTGACGAGCGCAAACCAAAAAAAGAACATCCTTCCGCTCCCCCTTCTCTCTCTTACTTACCCTAGTACTTAAATTTCATGAAATAAAAAATTGATTTTGTAAATGTTTTTCTAAAGAAATCATATGCTTCTCTCACTCTCTCTCCTTCTCTCTCTCTTTCTCTCTCTCTCTCCCTCCCCTTCTCTCTCTCTCTCTCTCTCCTTCTCTCTCTCTTTTTGTCTCTCTCCCTCCCCTTTTCTCTCTCTCTCTCTCCCTCTCTCTTTCTCTTCCGTTTGCCAATTCTTTTATTCTCTTTCATAATACGTCGACTTTCTCAAAAAAAAAGTCACGAAATTATATCAATTTTCATAACAATGAAAGTTACTATTGCAAGCAGGACAATACTCAAAAAGATTCAATACGTCCATTAAAATTGCGCAAACTTATAGTAAATTTTTAAATTTGACAAATACGTTTGAAACATTTATAATTTAAAGAATTATTTATTAAGTTATATTAATTATAAATTATGATTCAAGCGTCTGTGATTCTATAGAGTTCATAAAAGTTATCTAAAAAAAAAGTATTGTGCCTGATATAAATTTTTGTCTTGGACGAGTTGAAAAATCAGGAAACAAAGAAAGACAAAGAAGATGCTGACTCGTGAAATTCTTCTTAAAAAAAGGATTTACGAAATGGGCGATAAGTTTATGAAGAAACAAAATTTTACATCAATTTACATATGTTAATCTAGAATCTATAATACAGATCTCGGTAAAAAAAAAAAGAATAATAATGATAATAAAATAAAAATGATCTTTCGAGAAGATATCCCGGACGTAGTGACAAATACCAACTATAAATATTTAGTACTGACGTAATCGATGAGAACATGAGAACAGATTAAAATATGTTTAGGTTATCGTCTGCAACTCATTTTTTAAATGTGACAAGTAATTCATTAAATAATACAAACAAAATTTATACTTGTCTCTTCGATCTTTTTTTATTATTTCTTAATAAAAAGAAGATAAAAACAGTTGGAATAGTTTTGTCGTTTAAAAAAAATGTTAAATTATGGGAAAAAGACGAATGATTGATAAGTCGATATCTAGATCGATCTTTTCATTATTTTTTCTTCATTTCGGGCCAGCTGGCCAATTAGCGAAAGAAATTTAAAAAGGCTCGAACCAATTTTGGTAATGGTAGGGCTCTGAATTTCGTCAAGGTACAAAGATATAATAAGGAAGTGAGAGAGAGGGGGGAGAGAAATGTAATTACGAAATGAAAGGGACTACGAAAGAGATATCCGATATATTTAAAAATCAAATTTTAATTAAATATTCAAAAGATTTGATGAAACACAAGATGTTCGAATAGTAATTTAATTCAAGGATTAATGACAAATATTCATTTATGTACGATTATTTTCAAAAAATACTACTTGACTTATTTATTTTGATCTGTCAAATGTGTACAAATCTGATCTTTTTTATTATACCTAATTCTTTTCGGAATAATAATTTTTCGTAAGAAAGAAGAATATAATCGATTCGGAACAAAATTCTGTTTTTTCTGAAAGAAAAGAAGAGAAAGAAAAAATAGTTGCGTAAGAAAGAGAGAGAGAGAAAGAGAGAGAGAGAGATAGGAAGAGAACTTTTAAAAGAAATTGGTTTCTTCTCTCTACTTGACGTACACGGCCGGTTTCTTTTTTCTTTATTTCGGTAGTCCACCGTCGCCAGCACCACCACCACCACCACCATCACTGTGACCATCAACGTCTTTCGCTTTTTCGAGGGTTCGTCAGTTTCACGTATAAAAGCGAGAATCTTCTCGGTCGAATTCATCAGTCGAAAATAAATCGAACCAACCGAATACGAATTCTCAACATGAACGCAAAGGTAATTAATTAGATTCTACTTTTGTGATAGTTCATTTGAATACAATATACCAATGAGAAAAGGAGAAAGAGAAAGAGAGAGACAATAGGAAACTTAGTTAGGAATTCATGGAACGTATACATTCTTTGATAATTTTTCAATGCATGATTATTGTAGAAACTTTAGAGAAAACTTGATATGTATTAACTATTTCACTACTTTTTCTCTCTCTCTCTCTCTCTCTCTCTCTCCCGTATATACCACAAATGAAATGGTTTACCGTGTATAAGTGTACAGAACAAAACGACATCATCAAAATCTTATAAAAAAATTTAATATGCAACTAGAATTTATAAAGCGTTACAAATTATATATACATTATAGTTTTGCGAGTACATAGATATGTACATTGAAGAATAAACCTAAGTGTGTATAATATTCAAATTCCAGATGTTTATACTTTTCGCCCTCGTGGCATTGGCTGTTGCCGAAAAGACGTCAACGAAAGGGACGAAGAAAGATAAACGGGGACTCGTCGGATATAGTTTAGGATACGGCGGACTCAACACGTACTCGGCTGCTCATTACCCTACGGTCGGCATCAGTTCGTATTCTGCTCAATACCCATCGATTGACATCACCCATGGGGTCTCTACTGTCGTTACAAAAGAAGTTCCAGTCCCAGTACCTCATCCGGTTCCTGTAACCGTTGAGAAACATGTCCCAATTCCAGTCAAGGTAATTTCATTAGAACAAAAAGAAAAATATCTGTTACTTTTATCGTAAAATTTATTCGAATTTAGATATCAAAAAAAAAAAAGAAATATCAAACGCTTCGTTGATCCAACCAAGACATTTTTCTAATCAATCTGTTTGAACGAATTAATAAAGAAAAAAACATACACATTGAATGTGTGATCGAAAGTAATCAAGATAAAATCGATCATTGAAAGGCGATGCCGTAGAAAATAGAAGACCTCGTATTAATAATCACGCTCTAGTTGATCTTAGACGTCAACAAGTAACTCCTAAGTTGCAAGGACGTTGATTACAAAATAGCAACGTCGATGTTATAAAAAAGAAAACGCAAAAACTTGATTGAGAATAGGAAAATATTTTCGATTGATATTTTGAATTAAATTTTCAGGTGCCGTATGCAGTACCAGTAGACAGACCATACCCGGTACAAGTACCGAAACCTTATCCGGTTGAAGTAACGAAACATGTTCCTGTCCCAGTTGACCGTCCTGTTCCAGTTCCAGTAAGCGTCCCGGTCAAGGTTCCAGTGCCAGCCCCATACGTAGTGAAGGTAGCTCAACCTTATGGAGTCTACGTTTCCTCTGACCTTTCTTATGGTGGTCAATCTTCTTGGTAAATGGCTGACGACGACAACAAGAACCTTCAGAAAACAGAAAACATTTGTTCACGAATGTTATTCTGTCCTCGAAAAAAAAATCATAATGGTACTCCAAAGATGGATATACTTTAAAGGATAAAAAAGAAGAAAAAAAAAACAGATAGCTATATTGGATTACTTCATTTTCTTACTTTAAGAATCTCAAAGTAGAAATCTCGTATTGAGAGTTCTGCATAATTTAAATACATTATATTATATAGTACTTATTTTTCGGTATACCTACATTTTGTTCTTCTTTCTCTCTGTCTGTCCTTGCAAAAAGAAATAATAAGTATGATTACGTGGAAAATTGGAGCTCATTATATACCGAGTTGATACTAAAAGTGGATCGAAGCAATGCATGCGAATATAACGATCGAAAGCGAAATTCGATGGCTGTAGTTGATTCTCGTAAAAAAATGATTACATGAATTCGAGCGAGATACTCGTTAAAACGAAAAGAAAGGGCGGTAAAGGGAGACAGCAAAAAATTTCCATGTGATAAGATTCATTGACGGCGATATGACACGTAAGATGTGTACAATTTCTCCCGTCAAAAAAAAAGAAACGAATGAATTTCATTTATTCATCCTTTTTTTGCATTAAGAAAAATACAATGATGATTAGCCACTCGTTTTACTTAATAATTTTTTAATTAATATCAAACCGAAATTACTGTTAAAAATCTAAGCGTATAATTAAAAGATTATATTGGATGAAATGTGCCATCTATCAAATTTCTTTTATCGTCTACTTTATACAGTATACATATTGCTTCATAATTAAAAAAAATGTATTATTATGTGCAAAACATTGATACCTAAAAAGAGTATTAATATACTTGAAGCCTCTTAATATGAATCGATTTATTAAAGTCGATGTTGTTTATTTATTAAAGTAGACGTAAACAATTATTCAATCATAATTATGTTCAAAATGCATTGAAGCATGTTAGTTCTAGATCGATCGTACGATTCGGTGATTATAAGATATACGTAGGATGATTCATGAATAAATCAGGAAAGAACCGATTCTGTTTTTTTAAATAAATTAGAATTGTAGAATTAAATTTACTTAAACAAAGTGTTCTTTTTTAACAGCATTGAATACGCGGATAATTCAGCACAAATTTTATTTTAATAATATTATTCTATATTTACAAAACCATATTCTTCGATATCTATTTATTTTTACAAAAGATATCAACCTATAAAACTATAATTTACATAAAACTATAAAACTATAAAACTATAAAACTATAATTTATTTCACTGCCAGGAATAAATTTAGATCTTTCAAATATTTCTTCCAAGAATAATATAAGACCGTAAAAATTAATAACAAATGTTTAATAATTAAAGAAATAAATTATTAAAGTTTGACGTAAAAGCAATGTATTCCGTATATCTAATATATATATATTAGATATAATGTAATGTATATATATATATATATATATATATATATATATATTATATATATATATATATATTATATATATATTATATATATATTATATATATATATATATATGAATACCTATCTTCTAAAATCCATTGCGATATTGTCGCAAAAATGCTCGATTTGTAATAGGATAACATGACAATAGTGGAGGTTGTCGAATAAAAGGCGCGATAATATTGTTCATTTAATTATCCGGCGTTAGATGGCATAAGAAGTATTAATATGACCGTTTTATAGTACCGTTCCGCACGCTAGATAGCGCAAAGGATATTCAAAGAATGTTGGTATGATAATTCAATATCTATTTCTCACACTAGATGGCGCGAAGAGTATCAAGAGAACATCGGTATGATAATTCAATATCTCTTTCTAATACTAGATGGAACTAGAGATATAAAGAAAGTTCGTTTTCAATAATTTAGTATAATCCAAAAATACATTTTATACATGATAATTATAAAATTAGACATTTAATTATTATGAAAATTGTCTATACAAGTATATATTAATCATTAATAATATTTATTGCATAATATTCAACATGAGTATAAATCGACTGGATATCTCCATAGAATAACTCCGTAAACTCCCTGCTTTAATATAAGACTATTAAGGTTCATAAAGAATATTTAATGATATAGTTAACAAATTCTTTAGATTTTATTGTATTTTTCAATGTGGTATATAATTCTTCAATGTATTAAAATATATTTATATTTATCGTAAAAGTTGTTCTTGTGACGATCTCGTTGCGACTGTTACCTCTATTCCGCCAAGCACATAGCTAACACATCTCGGCACAACCAAATGCACATGTAGAAACCAACCAAACAAAATGAGAGACAACAAAAACGCCGAAAACAAAGGAGACGTCAAAAGACATCAGGAACAAAAAAAGAAATGATTCATTCTTTCTTTGATTCTTCTTGAAACCACAGCTGTAGTTGTTGAAAGTGATAGTCTAATTAAACTACTGTGTATCTGACAAAGTTAAATAAATATATCACAATTATAGCTTGATATGCAAAATTTCTTTCTACATAGTGGGTTGCTACGAAAAACCCACATTCTTAATACTCCTAGAACCATCTAGCTCTATTGGTATAAACTATTAAAAAATATATTTTCTTTATACTCCTGGTGCGATCTAGCGAGACTACCGATACTAAACTATTAAAAAATATATTCTTTTAATACCCCTGGCACCATCTAGCATCGCATCAACTAAACGTTATTTTCGCGCCTTTTATTCGACGACCTCCACTACTCTCATGTTATACTATTACAAATCGAACATTTTTGCGACAACATGGTCGTCGATTATTGGATAGGCATTCATATATATAGATATATATATAAATACCAAATAAATTCATGTATTTTAATTATTTATTTTTTAATAATTAGATATTTGTTATAAACTTTTACGGTCTTATATTGTTCCTAAGAGGTTATAGAACATTTATGAAATCTAAATCTTTATAATTTATTTCTGTTTATAAATGTTTATAAATTGTATTTGTCAGTAATGAATTATATTAATCCGAGATATATAATTGTATATATGAATTGTTACAAGATTCATGTTATAAAAAAATCAGAAAAACGTTAAAAAAAAAAAAGAAAGGATAGTAAAATAATGTTTGCGGTAAGAGAGAAATGAAGGAAAGCATGAAATACTAGAAACGTCACTTTCTAGTTTAAATTTAACAGAATACTCTCCATCCTTGGTAAATTGATCTTACTTCCTTCCATGAGCAGAGTAATTCGACTCTGCTCGAGAAAACGTGTGCAATATATTGAAACGAAAAAAAGTCGTATGCCCGTCAAAAGCGAGACGGTCGTATAAAGTAAACGTAAAAGATTTTCTCGATCTAACCGGTCTAGTGATAGGTGGTCTCAATTTTTTCGCAAAGACAGGAAATTTTTCTACGGTTCATTGACGGTTCATTTAAAAACAAAGTATTATTTTTTTGTAATAAATATATCTAGAGATATGATTAAAGTCACAAGAGAAGAAGAAGGTACGTTTGATTAGACAAAGTTTTATTAAAAAATAATAATCTATATAAAAGAAGTCTAACAAAAAAGAAAGAAAGAAGAAAAAATGAGAAAGGAAAACAGAACAGAAAAAGCAAATAAAAAGTAATAATATAAAGAAAAACAAAAACTTAACACACATATGTGAAGAAATTAACTACATCGTAACTATATACAAAAACAGAACTTGACGTTCTAAATCAAAACGATAATTTGATCTAATGTGTAGATCATCGTTATCATAACGATATTTTAATGAACATAATAATCTCTCCTAAGTTATTAAAATTTTTTTCTATAAAAAAAAAATAAAGAAATTCCTTGCCGAGGTCTAAAGAAAAATATGATTATGATTAATGATGTTCCGATGATAGATCTGATTGCGAAGGTTGAAAATGTTCTTGCTCATAATGTCCTGGTGATTGAACGGTATAAGTAGTATATCTAGACTCATGACCGATATGATCTCCCTCTCCTCCAGAATATCCAGTAGAATATCCTCCAGAATGTCCTTCTGATTGTTGATAAGGTATTGGATGTGGTACAGGATAAAATACTGGCTTTGGAACAGTTACTGGATGTGGTACAGGTACTGGTTGTGGCAGAGGTACCGGCTTCGAGACCACTACCGGCACTTGTTGATGGACTTCAACTGGAACCGGCTTTTCTACCTCTACTGGCACGTGTTCAGGAACTTTCACTATCTGCGGAACCGGAACAGCCACAGGATGGTTCACAGGCACTGGAACCGGTATATGATGGGGTACCTGATTGAGAGAAAGATCGGCAAATTAAATTCGATTCAGACCTATCGATTTAGAGAACAATTTTTATAAACAAAATAAAATTAAAAACGCTATTGTATGACTAAGCTGGCCAATGTCAGAAATGATGACTGTTTATTATTTCTTTTATTATTACTATTATTATTACTATTATTATTATTATTATTACTATTATTATTTTTATTGTGATATCCTTGCAAAGACTTGTTAATTAATATCAATGTAATGGATTGTATTGCGAGTATAAAAGTTTCACGTTTCAAGATCACATTTCACTTTTCACTACTTTCTTGATCTTGTCTCTTTAAGGGTGTCAGTAAGTATCCTTTTTGCCAATTAGAGGAAGCAACTATCGTAAAAGTTTTTCTTAAATGTTAAAGACTTTTTGTAATGACGTTTTCTAAGAAACACGAACTCGTTCATTATGACTGGTTGCTTTCAATAAAATAGGGTTTACCTTAACTGGATACGGGACGGGAACCTTGATAGCTACAGTTTTAGTGACCTTAATAATTTTCGTGGGTACTTCATTAAGTTGGACCGATTGTGAGATAAGCTTTGGATGACTAGAGAAACCATGATGACCTTCGTACGATGAAAAATGTGAAGCCTTCGCTCCTATCACGGCGATGGTCGCTAAAAACTGCAAAAGATCTTATTGTTGAGATAATGGCGAATAAATTGGTGGTGAAATTTCAACTCGAATACGAAATTGAAAGTTTCTAGTTATTTTCTTACGTTAAAAAAGAACTTGGAAAACTTAATCGTTTTTTAACGATCGTAAATATTATTTAGACTGAAATTTCATCCGTTCAAAAAACAGAAAAAAAAACAAATAAAAAAATGATCTATTGAAACGAAAGAAAAATAATAATTATTAAAACAAACTGATGACTTCCGTCGATCAAGAGACAGATATAGTCATATAACCAAAATCAAAAAAGGAAAAAACAAAAAGCACGATTGTATCTCCATGATAAGTAACGCCTATTCGCAGCGGTTGATCGATGAATCCGAAGGAATGATAGATCCCGGCGTAGAAACTTACGAATAAGAGCATCTTGCACGTCGATTAGAGAAATGTAGAGGGTGATCTGTATTGCCTATCACACAGGAAGCACACTGACAATTGCAGTGCGGTTAGATGCTTATATACGGAGACCTTCACTATCGTCGGTTCACGAAGAAAGCACTCTCTTTCCGACTGGCTTACGTTCGCCAATCTCGTCTCCATCTTCTCTCCTTTTTGTAACCTTCCTTTTTTCGATGTCCTGTGTACGAGCAAGCGAGCGAGCAAGTTCGACGACCCGTTCTGTACATTCGCTCGATCTTTCGAAAGGATCGAACGCTCGGACAAATTTCTTCCTTCTTTTCGTATAATTCGTAATTTTTTAAAAAATCTTTTTAACAATTTTCTTTTCCTTTTTTGCACCACTTCGTAACTACCTAATGAATAAAGATGAAAGATATTAAAAGAACTGTAATAAACTGAAATGAAAAATCTTTTTTATATGTCAAAACGACAAATAAAAGATATGGTCACAAGAGCATTACGTAATTAGAAATATTCATTGGAAATCGTTAATAGTAACGCATGAAACTTATAGATATTTTGGTAGTTTTAAAAGGCTGTCAATAGCATCGTCATATCAGCAAGGAATGAAATAAATTCGTTAAGCAACGCGTCAGCAATATTTTAAGTAACAAATCGTGTATCCTTTTTACTATACTTTTGACATCGTCCACCATCGAGGATTTTCGAACATCATTTCGATTTTAAAACTTTAATGCTTTTCTTTCTTATTATTGTTATAATTATTTCTTATGAACGTAGTTGCTTCGAAGGGGATAAAAAAATTAAACAATCAGAGTCATGCAAGAGGAAGTAATATAACTTCGGTTTCCTATTATTTCTATATGTGCACGTGGAGAGAGTATTCGCATTCTCAAAAGCATGATATATAGAAAACGAAGGAAGAAATGGTGAAAGGATTATCATTGAAAGTTATTTTTCAAAGAACATCAACAGTAAAAAGAAAATACAAATTTGTATTTACTTCTTCTTTAAGAATGATCAGATAAATGGATTTATTTTTTTTTTATTGCTAAAAATTTATTTAATTGTTTATCTTTTACTCATCCAATTGGCTATTGTCACGGTCAAGTTAAAGTAATACTCTCGTTACAGTCGAGTTGTTACTCACAGTAGACTTCGGCGAAGGATAGAATGGCTTCATGTTACGGATTCTAAAGATATTTTTAAAGTTCGTCGGAGAAAGGCACAAAGGTACAAAAGGAAGGAACGGAAACTTTCCAAAAGGCGTATGCTATGTCAGGAAATATAGACGCTCGTACGAGAGATACGCCTCAGGAAGTTGCACGTTTGGATGAAAAAAAAGTTACAGGAGAATGTAAAGAATTCATAAATCTCTTCATCTCTCTTCCTCTCTAAATACAAAGTCAATCAGGTAGATAGGAATAACTTAATATTTCAACAAATGAATAAAAAGATATTAAAATGAATAATATATTTATAATAAAAATTGAAAGAAAAGATACATTTTAAATAAAATTTAATTATTTAATTAATTAGTTTAATATAATAGATTTTATGCGCCTGGGAAATAGATAACTTTCACATCGGAAAGTATGAGGGTTGCATACAATCGGGCGTGTTTAATTCGCTCAATCTTAACAGCTAATATCTTTTTAAAAAGTAGCGCCACAGTAATAATTTCGAAAAAGTGAAATAATACTAAAGCACGAAATTAAAAAGTTGACTTCCCTCGTATTGGTGGAACGCATTCTGAGCCAAAAATAGATGCTGCAATAAAAAATAAATCAATCTTTTATATAGTTGCTCCCTCTCGAATAAGTTCGCACAAGATAATAAAAAATTCATTTCTTTTTATTCTTTTCAGATTAATAAAAAGAAGAGAATTTTTATTGTTTAAATAAATAAAACACACTCTTTTTTCAAAAACTCATTCGGCCGATCCAAATCAATTTACACATATGAATGACTTTTTTATGTAATTCTATGCAAAACATAGTTAAAAATTGTGCAATCCTGTAGCCTCAGACATAACATCGGTAACAGAAATTTAGAATAAAATATCAACGTAGAGAAAGAGAGAGAGGGAGAGAGAGAGAGAGAGGGAGAGAGAGAGAGAGGAAGAGAGAGAGAGAGAGAGAAGAGAGAGAAAGGGAGAGAGAGAGAGAGAGAAGAAGAGAGAGAAAGAGAAAGAGAGAGAAGAAGAGAGAGAAAGAGAGAGAGAGAGAAGAAGAGAGAGAAAGAGAGAAAGAGAGAGAAGAAGAGAGAGAAAGAGAGAGAGAGAGAAGAAGAGAGAGAAAGAGAGAAAGAGAGAGAAGAAGAGAGAGAAAGAGAGAGAGAGAGAAGAAGAGAGAGAAAGAGAGAAAGAGAGAGAGAGAAAGGACTTTGATTGGATGAAACTCAAGAAAGGGATAGAGTCTCCAAATATATGATATTTTGAGCTATCAAGGTTACAAAACCGTCAAAATGAAGCTACATTTTTAACGCGAAACGGCAAGACAGATCACATTCTATCCTGACCAATTAAATATACGATGGAGATCAAAATAACATTTGCTCTTTCGTGAACTTCACAAACTGATAGAGCTAATCGTAATAATTTTGATATAATAATATAATTTTCGTAATATTTATTTCGTAATAATCAAAATGTTTTGAACACAATGCACATACATTATTTTTTTTGTCAAATTATTGATCAGATATAACCATTCGTTAATAAATCATCATAAATGATCTATCTTTTATCTACAAAATTGATCCATTAAATTTAGTGAAAATTGTCCCTTATCTCTGTACTTTAAAAGATTCCTGCTTTTTAGCTCGTTTCGATAAAAGTATTTTTTAGCTCCAACAAAAAACACCTAACGAAGCAATAAAAAAAATTAAATACATTCAACCACTAAAAAATAATATCAAGTATTCAAAAAGAAAAAGATTTATGCTATATAACAAATTGAAATACAAAATTTACATCATTTTTAACATATGTGTATGTGTGTGTATATATATATAAGGAAAAAAATTTTAACCCTATAAAGGTAAATATTACTTACTTGATTTATTTCATTTTTACAAAAAATTATATATACGTTGTTGTTTCGAATAAAAAAGGAAGTGTATCTGTCTTCGTGATTCGTCTCGAAAATTCGTAGAAGTGAATCTAAAGGAGGAGTCTATTAAAAAAATCTAGTTCTTCCCAATGCCACTTGGATTGCAACATCACCTGGAGACAACATCTGCCAGGTATAAAAGGTCGAAATACGATCGAAAAGATGCTCAACTCTTCGTCACACTCCGTACAAGCAACATGAGGTTCCTTCTGCTAACAGTGGTAAGGGTGTTTTCTAATTCGTCCCTTCTCTTTTTTTTCAAACTTTTTTAACAAACTTGCATCACTTCCAATGTGAAAATATGTTACGTATTACATACATAAACATTTTTACATATTAATTAACGCATTATTATAGGCAAAATGTTTTATAAAATCGGGCAACTCTCGAATCGCGAACATTTTTTTTAGATAACAGAAATAAATATATATATATATATATATATATATATATATATATATATATATATATGCAAGGAAAGGGAAACAAAGTGACAAGGTTATTTGAGATACAACTTAGAGAGAAAAAAAATGTATTTCATAATCGTCGAAACCTGTTAAATTACGTAACAGCTGATAAATAAAGATGATCCTAATTGATCGATTTCTCAATGAATGGAATCTTTGTAAATTTTATTTTCGAAATTCATCGTTTGGCTCACAAATACGAATTATTCTTACGTATTTAGAAATAGATGAATTAATTTGATTTCTATTTGTTGAACAGCTGTGTTCGGTGGCGTCGTTAACAGCCGCCGTTGAGAAACCAAAGAGAGATATTTTACCTGGTGATTTACGTTACGGAACTGATTATCATCATAATCATCATCATCATCAAGAGAACGAGTTAGAAATATCTAAATCTCTCGGTGGCTATGTTGGTTCTTACAGTGTTCCGGATGATGAATCAAAACAAAGTTACGGTCCACCTGATCATCAACCCAGCAAACCATTGAGCATAGAACAGCATACGACAATTGTAAAAACTAATCCTCAAGTCCCATTACCTACTTATGGAATTGTCGAGGTAAAAAAGCATTGATAATAATATTTGATTTCAATAGAATTCATTTGGAAATGATTTCATTAGGTTAATCAAGCACAAACACTCAACAAACAATACTTATCTCCTGTTATCGATGCGGCTAAAAAAGTTCACTTAAAAACTCTTACGACTTTAACAAAACCAGTCGAGGTAAGAACATATATTTCGATTTTTCATATTTTTTAATTTAATATATAGGCATATGTACATATACGAGAAATGTATATAATTAGATAGAGAGTAGATTCTTTTTTCTTCTTCTTTATTTTTTCCTTTTATAAGAAAATTTTATTAAAAAATTTCATTTTTATAGACGACTCTATTGAAGAAAGAAACTGTAGATTATTTGACACCTTCGATTAAGGCTCCGGTTACATCTTATGGAGAACCTGTAACTACCGTCGAAGTTAAAGTAAATATTACATTTGAAATTTTTATCTTTCTTAAAAATTCCAATGAGGAGATCTCTGAGAATAATCAATTCTTTTTTAGACACCAGTAAACACTCAAGAGTCAACTTCATACGAGGTTCCTGCGGTGAAGGTGAGTCGATGAGTTTTTGAACAATAAAAATATAATATATCCATATTTACTCTTTGATAATGTAATATTAAATTTTTTTATTACAATTATTATTTTTATAAATCATCCTTATATATAATATCGATTAATATTAAATATTAAATTTTTCGCTTGCCTAATCTTCAATATTAATTATTTCAAAGACTTTGGCTGTCGATACAAAATTAGAACAGACAGTGCTCCCAGAAGTCCATGATCATTTAGAAGAAACAAAGACAGTTCAAAAAACTCAACTAACTGTACCGCAAGGTAAATAAAAAAAAATCACAATATATATCGTTATAATTATCTAATGATCAAAAGAAAAAAAAATTATGTATTATAACAGTTTCAGATGTAGCACATCACACACCAGTGATAGACTCAAGTTTACTCCTTCCAGTAAACAATCTCCCGATTCATCTCAACACCGACACTGATTTCTCCAACTTGACACCTCTGACGATTGACCAATCGAGCACGTTCGCCGATCATGTGCAAAGTCCGCCTAGCTTCGACACAGCTTATCAATTTAATCTCCGAAACATTGGTGCTTTTGGTAGTCAACCGAAATTATTGAACGGTCAATTACCATATGTTAGTTCACATACTTATGGAGTTCCTTACCAATTCCCACAATCCCAGTACACTTCACGAATTCATCAATCTTTACCTTCTCAATTAAATAACTTGGTTCCTTATCCATTGGTAGGTAACAATAATTTATTTACAAGTAACATTGGAGTTAAAGAATCTGGATCAATCGGTTCATTATTCCAAGAAACTTTCCCTAATCTTCAACTCCCTCAATTTCCACAATTACCCCAATTACCCCAATTACCACAATTTCCAAATCTTGGGTCACTTTTCCAATTACCAACTTCATCTCCGGCTCCAACTCCAGAAAATCTCGAAACTGTCGAAATTCGAAAACCGATTGAAGGAAAGAAATTAGAGACAACTGATAGCAAACCAGTTGCTCTTGATACTTCGTTGACAAAGACAAGCACGGTTGTTACCAAAACGTCAAATGGATATACTCAACCTGTTGATGAAAATGGTGGATACATTTATTAAAAATTCTTCTTTAATTTTTCTATTGAAAGTTAACATAAGGACGATTTCAGTGAAACACAAGAGTGCTCTAGATATGATCATAAGATGATCTCCTAGATTTATGTTTATAAGATATAATTTAGAAATACCAATAGAATATACCACGCATCTTAGATTTTATAAGTAAATAAATTCCTTTTATTACAAATGTTTTAAGATTACTTTTTTTTACATGGATTATTACGATCCAGTCGACCAACAATACATCTCTTCATTTTTAACCTTTCGACATTTTTTTACAAGAGAGATTAATTATTTATTATTAATTAATGTCTCCTGATATATGTTTTAAGAAAAAAGGAAGCAGATGACAACATTTAGTTGAAATTGGATTAATTGCGATCCTAAAGGACACTTTTAAAGAAATTATTCCAAATTCCTTGGAATATAATTACTAATTACATAAGTTTTGAAATGAAAGAAAAAGGAAGTTGGCGTAACCCTCCATTACCAGAGACGACATTTTTTAACTGGATTCATATTAGATCCTAAAGGACATTTCCAGGCTTCGCTGAATTCCTTGGAATTTTTAAGTACCGCTCTAAGCCTCACGTGACCTGGACAATGAGAATCTTCAAGCATCCACTTCAAGGACGATGCGGTGTATGCCTCGCACCACAGCTAAAACCATGTGAAAGTAACTTGATATTTAACGATCTTCGATCGAACCAATGAAAATTTCTTTAACAGTTAAATCATCTTACGTGAGCGAAACTAAGAAAGAGTAATTGCTGATGTGTGAAATGTGTAAATCCGGGAAGCAAAGGCTCTTGACCATGTCTGGCCTTCCATCTTTCATAAGCAATGACAGCTTCTCTTAAACCACCATTATCGGCTATATTCTCCCCCAAGGTCAATTTGCCGTTCACGTAATCGTCTACCTACTCAGACAATATTGGATTCAATTATGGTCAAATGCTCGTTCGGCTTTTAAGATTAAAATCAAATTTCTCATAAAATTGTTCAAATCTATTATTTCTATATATCCTAATTAATAGTTTTAAAAAATCATCATTTAATTGTCGATATCCAGTAAATAATTATTTATTAGAATCGTTTTTCTTTTTTTTTTCTTTCTTCAATACAAGTATACCTCGTCTTCATAATAACTGTTATAGTGATCTATAAAACATTGAGTTCTTTCGGTATACTCGAAAATCGTTTCGTTTGTCCACCATTGTCTCAAATTGCCATTACTATCGTATTGTCTACCACTATTATCGAAACCATGTGTTAATTCGTGCCCAAGAACCGTACCGATAGCGCCATAATTTAAAGCTCTGCAATCAATAAACTTTTTTAATATAATCGAAATTATTTTCGCATAAACATTGATTATTTAAAAAAAGTCAATCAGAATTCATCGAGTTTTTGTAACTCTTACTCTAGACCAAGTTCGTAGAATGGAAACTGGAGAATTCCTGCGGGAATAGCTGCATGTGTATTAAAAAATAAAATAGATATATGAAAAATATTGCTGTTATAAAAAAGATATATATATCTATATTTTATCTACATACTAATTTGATTCACTTGAAAAGTATGAAAGGCGTTGACATCTGTTGGATCTGTCACCCAACTTTAAATAATGTAAAAAATATTAATTAAATTATTTCTTTAACAATTTATTAAATAACAAGTAAAAAGTAAATATACATATATAGAAGTTCACTTACTATGATTCGTTATATAAATTAGTATCGTGAAGACATTCCAATTTTGCGAATGAAATTGATCGAACGATTTGTAACATATTATCTAAATATTTCGTTTCCGACAGATCTATCTGAAAGAACATGGAATATTATTGGATATATTATAGTAGAAAGAAAATAGAATAACATTAAACACTAACTATTTTAATCTCTTCAAGGATAATAACATGTGTAATTTTTAACTTAATGTTTATAGAAATTCACGTTTAATAACCCTTCTTATATATATATATTTCTTTCTCTATGGGTCAGGGATAAAATATATCCCTGCAATATCCTCTGCTTGTCATAAAAGGCGACTAATTGGGTTTAATTGGGTAACAATCTCGTAAAAACCCGCTTATTATGGAAACTCGAAAAAAAAGAGCTAAACTGATAGCTAGTGCATAACTTCGTCAGGACCCGAATTTTACTTATTTATTTAATTACTATCAATTTAAAATTATATACGACAAAAATCGTATCTGAAGAGATTAAAAAAATATTGTTTAAATATAAAAATTAGTAAATTGTATTAACATCTTCGTAATATTCATCAAGTTCACCCTCCTGGAAAAGCCATTCTGGATGGCCAATTTCCAAAGACATCTTATTATTCTTTTCTAACGTCACTTTTTTAGTTTCTTTATCCATCCAATCAGTTTTTCGAACTAACGAAGCAAAAGCTGCTCTAATATCTTCTAACATTTCGCGAACTTTCGGTGCTTTTTCTTCGTGAAAAGATTTATCAACAAATAACCATGATGCTGCCATACCTAATAGAATAATCATTTTAATAAATAAGAAAAAGAAAGAAAAAAAATACTTGTAAATTATTGTAGTATAATAATAACGATTTTCAATTATATAGGATGATATACGTACTAACCCATTAATTGGTTCACAGCTTCGGCACAGTATAAAGATTGGGATGTAACAGTTTCAACGTTCATTAATGAGTGGAGATAATTAGACCAAATTTGTCGTAATTTTTCGGAAGAATGTGGAACAACTATGTCCACGACGACCCACCATATATATGTTTCTTTAACAAAGATTAATATTGTTGCTTATTTTAAATGTTATTTATTTAATTTTGTGCTCGAACATTCAAGATATTAAGTTATCATTTTAAATTAATTAGATATTTACATATATATATATATATTATGTGGACCGGAAAGTAATGTCGTTTCTGCGCATGTCGATATTTGATTGTGATTAAAAATAAAAACTTGTTAAAAATTGATTCGTTTGAATTTAATTGAAGAGAACGACATTACTTTCCGGTCCCCCTATTATATATATGTATATATGTATATATGTATATATATGTATATATAATATTAGATTTATTATGTAAGAACGAATTCGAAAAAATACCTAAATCTTCTTCATTCCCCGAAGCAATGATCAAAGCCAAATCTTTTAAATATTTTAAATTTCCCACAAGAACTTTATCTCTCTCAGAAAGATCCAAGGTAACAACATCTTTAAAAAGTATCTCGATAAAAGGTCTCCAAATAATTTTTGGCGTTAGACTCGAGTTAACTTCGATCACATATTCATCCGTCAATTTCTGAAGATCATCAATAAACATATAATCTTCATCTTTGATATTTTCTTCTGTCAAACTCTCATTAACTTCTAAATGAGATAGCTGTTCGAAAAAGATCAAAAAAAGAAAAGACGTATAAAGTTACATCACGGATGATATCATAAAATATACTAATTTAACATGTCAGTTACGGTTAATGATTAGAAAAATATAACTTTAGATAACGTTTCAAATCTATTAATCACAATGTCGGATGTTACAAATGACAAACCTTTTGCAATCATGTTTTTGTAATTCATTCGTAGATCGACATATACGTAATTGCAAATAACAATTGATCTATAATTTTCTTAAAAATAATGACGCAACAAATAAAATAGAAAAATAAACTTACCAAATATACAGTACTACTAAGTTCATAAATCTTCTTTAATAAATCTTTCACGTCATTTTCTTTAGGAAATGTACTTTCATTTTCGATAGTACAAGCATCCAATGTACCATTGCTGATAACTTCCTTGATAACATTAAACATATATAGTAACTCCACTTCTAAGTCTTCGTCTGTTTCGTCTAACATATTATCCAATTTTCTCATTCTTGATCTAATCGTTTGCAAACGGCGTTCTAATTCTTTGTCACTTAAAAATTAAATTCTTTTCGTTGATATAATCGAATAATTATTAAAAGTGTTATTTTTTATTTTAATTCTATTTTCAAATTATTTAAAATTTCTTTTAAAAAAAAGTTAAATTTTTATATTACCTGGGGAAAGGACTACCTATAATTGGTGTATCGAGCAAAATGACATTTTTGGTACCATTTCTAGGATCTGGTAGAACGTCGAAACCAATTAAAACGTCCCTTCCTAGAATTCTTTTGACTTTAGCCATTTGATCGATATAATTTCTCGTCTTCTTTGTTAATGCTGCAGGAATTGAGGGTAAATTGAGCAGTTCTAACAACTCGAATAATGACGAGAGTCCTAACTCGTTCATTGACTCTGAGAAAGAAATGGAAGAAATGAAGATGCACTAAACACAAAAAATATCACGTTCAAATACGTAATCTTTTGCTAAAAAAATATTAGACAATTGTTGAAAAATATTCCGAAAATGTTAGAAAAAAATAATATATCGATTTATTTATTTATTCACTCTTGTTTATTTAACTTCAACAATTATTCAAATATTTTTATTTGAAGTCGAACAAACGCACATACCAACGTCCAAACAACTGGTATACAAAATTTTTGCTTGTTGCACGGACCAAGGTGCATCTCCATCGCTAATATTTTTTCTTAATGAATCTCTAATTGTCCTAGCTACTCGTTCGGTTCGTTCATTGAACCATGAATTTGTTAGACTAGAATCTGGTATCGGATGTTCTCGAGGCCATCTGCCACAAGTATATCTAAAGATCGATTAAAAAAAAGAAAAAAAATACATATATACACACACACACACACACATAATTACATTTTATATATAATTCGATTCATATCTCGTATATTACTATAAAATTTATTTATAAAAATGTTGACAAAAGTATTAGCGCACTATAATAAAAAACCATTTGTTTGTTTATAATTATTTCTCACATAGCCATATATATCATATTGATTTTTCTATATCTATTCTTAATGTACTATAAAAATATAGGAATATACGGCAATTTTATTCTAAGACGTATAAGTAGAAAGGGTTGCAGTCATTAAGGTGCATCGTGCGTAAATTTCTTTGCAGCACACTCGTACATAGAATTTTACAATTTTATATAAACAATACTCACTTATAAAAATCGTCACAAGGATCTACGGACGTATCCATAGATTCCTTAAGACTAGCAGCTGATCGAAAGAAATGATCTTATAAGTAATATAACTTTTTCTTTTAATTGTCAACATTATTAAAAATTCTATTCATTTGAAAAGATACGTCAATCTTATCGTTTGACATAAATTGTAATCGTAATTATGTCATTCACATAAATCATACTTACCTATTCTCACGCAATCTTCCGAATCACATAGTCTCATATTAGTTTCACGTTTAACCATAGAGTCTGAAACAAACAACGATCGGATGAAAATTGTGGGTAGCTAGGTAATCTTGATTACTAGTTATCTATCATTTGACAACTAGTCTACAAATTATAGGATGAGATTAGAGATATCAATGAGAAATTCTTCTCATAAACATACATTTACATTACATTGCATTTATCTTTAACGATAATGAAAGACTACTTACAAAGTATAGAAAGTACTAATACCGCAACGAATAAGGAAGCCACCAAAACGAACAGGATTATGATCAAGAGAGTGGATATTTGTCTACGTTTCTTCAAGCTATAAAAATTATAAAAACTCTGATAAAATAAACAATTTAATAGTAATATAACAATCTAATAATAGTAAAATAAACAATCTAATAGTCGAATTTGTATATATATTATTTATAATATTCCTAATATTTTTTAAATAATATTTAAACAACTAAATAAAAAATGATCTTAAATAAATCAATGAATTTAAAAACAAAGAATAAAGTTAAGATTCCAGATTAGTTTAAATATTTTCTTACAAAGTTTTTTTAGATTTGATGGATACCAAGTTCCTTTGACTGCCAATCGAGTATATAGAAACACTTTCATCTTCTTCTATAAACAAATCAAAACAAATTTCATTAATAAACTATTAAATTTTATTATATAAAGAAAGTAAAAATTTGCCAGTCAACTTTCTTAATCATGTTAGACACGCAAACTCTGGCTCATGATTTTAAAGATTATAAAGTCCAAACCGGATGTTAGAAAGTAATAAAAGTGTTAACGAGACCATTCAGAACGTCTACAAGAAGAACAGTAACAGTGAAAACTAACTCATGAAAAATTATCTTTTATGAGTTTGACCGATAAGAATAGAGAGAGAGAAAGAGAGAGAGAGAGAGAGAGAGAGAGAGAGAGAGAGAGAGAGAGAAGAGAGAGAGAGAGAGAGAAAGTATTACTCGATAGAAATACTTTTCCATAAATTTTCATATGATTTAATAATAGGTCATTGTAATAAGGAAGTATATAGCATCCCTGGAGTAAAAGTATATATACACACACACATATATATATACTCACTGCGCTCGTTGTTCATGCTGAATGGCCCACTGACCGGATCGAACTGACGACACTGAACAACCTCGAGGGACACTCGGCTGTCCATACGTTCACATTTTCCTGGGCAACCAGTGGTTCTCGTCCAATGAACATCTTTCCTCCGCCTTTTCTTTTTAAGTAACAATTAAATTTATTCGAAAAAAATATTTTAAATCACTTAACTTGTTTTATCATTTTAATTCGTATATTATTTGTAAAATGATTCAATGTTGATCGTATAAAAAAATTCATATAAAAAAACGTCGAAATTTCTGAACAAGTTGAGAATTGAATATGTAAACTCAAATCATTGTTTATATGAGTGTAAAGTGGATATAATATCGGAACAAATGTCCATTCTCAGAGTATAATATTGACAGCCGATTATGAATAGTAATAAGATTTCTTTACCACGTCAGATGAAAATATAAATCAATATGATCTATATTTGTCACTAAATCATATGAGATTTATAAATGAAAAAAATACAAGTATAGATTGTTAGATTAAATATAAATATCTAATTGTTATAAATCAATATCGCTATTATTTACATATCCAGTAATGCATGCATCAATATATACATATACATATATATATATATAAAAGTTAAGAGATCAATATTATAGTAGTCGAGTATATTAAAAGTTTTCAAGGTTTGAACGTATTGCGATGATCAGACGGTAATCAGAGGAAACATCAGTGAGCCTAATTCAGTAACATGCGATTGTATTATAAATGAAGTAACCCTATTGGTCGTTATTTCTAGCATAACCAATAAAAAGTTACATTAACGTTGCTATACTTCGAACAATTTTATATTTTCTTAGAAATATTAGAAAAAAAAGAAATCGGCAAATAAAGTTTTACTTCGAAATAGAAATTGAAAGCATCTAATACCCAAGTATCGACATAAGCTTTGAGAACAAAAATATGGCTTCTTATTTATGTACAAACTCTATCCAACTTACTATGAAATATATAGAGTCTTACTATCATATATTTGTGCGAAGCGTCAATATAATTTCACTGACGAGTCTTACTAGAATATTTCATGAAATCAATTCTCTCTGTTATGTCTCTTATATGCTAAAGTCAACTTTTTAAAATTCATCATAATCGTTTCTAGGCTGAATCGTAGGTAATATAGATACAGAATTTTAATCAATCGTTTCGTTTTAAATAAAAAGTCAGATTAATAGTATAAGCTTATAGTTTTTGAAAATGGATAACTAGAATGAAATGAAAGAGGAAGTAAAGTAGAAAATATATTACTAGGTGAAAGTAGGATATGTATTAGAATGTATTCGTACCAAGTCATTCAAGAAAATAGTAATCAACTGTCAATTGATTTGCACAATTGTTTTGATTATCAATGACTCTAATTTAAAAAGAACATTTTTTTATTATTAGAATTATTATTATTATTTAATATTGTTAGAAAAAAAATTAAAATAATTAAAGAATTGTAAGTAATTAGATTATAATTAGATAGTAATTAGAAATAGTAATTAGATAGTAATTAGAAATAGTAATTAGATAGTAATCAGAATTAGATAGTAATCAGAAATAATTTAATTATGTATTTTATAAATCAGATATATATAGATGTTTATATGTGTGTGTGCTGTATTATAGTTTTTCTATTTTAAAAAATAATTACGATAAACTAATGATTAATTAGATATTATTGTTGATTGCTAATTGATATAATACTCTTTATTCCTAAAAATTTCTAAACAAATAGAAATAAAAACTTATACATGAAAGTACATAAAACTAACAATTGAATAACTAGCATAATAATTTTTGTTCTTAAAAATTAAAAAAAAAAAAAGAAACATGTTAGAATAACTTTAATCATTTTTCAATGTTTCTTCTTTTTTCACAAACGATTTCTCCGAACCCTTTTACGATTGCGTTCTCTTGCTTTGCACGAATTCATCGTTATAGTTTTTTCTACCCTTTACTAACTCTAAGCCGGAGTGACCGGCCAGAGAATGTTAACCGAGAAAGAAGGAACGATATTATACAAACGGCTTGACTAAAAAGTGAACACGTATCCTAGATAATTACGATCGTGTATACCCTCTCCTTCCTATATACTTCGACCCCTTCCCCGACAATTAACTGGACCACCTAAGGGAATTGCTCGGAACAACAATTTTTATCCTAATTTAATCGATTGATTTTAATCTATCGTTTGTTTCCATTTACTTCCCATTTATCTCAAATATATGTATATCTAATTTTTTGTTTAGAATCGGAGCAAAATTTTTTTTGTTCCAGTCATTATTTATTGTCTAGATTAATGAAAGATAAGTAAATAATAAATTATAACTGTTTATGAAAATATAAATCTTGGTTTTTTAAAGATATTCTAATTCATAATAAGACAAGGTATTAAATTAGATTTATTTTATTTTAATTATTATCAAACTTATTTTTTAAAGAGAAAATATTTAAATAACTAAAATAATAATCTATAAGGCCATTTGCTAAGAATTAAAATTTATTTAAAAGAAGAAATTCAACGATTATTAATAAATTACAAGTTTGTTCGCAGTTGATTGGAAAATCGTTTAACTCGATAGATTAGAGTTTGGTCTAACAACGTCCTCGCAACGATTCGTAACAAACTATAATAAATGCATTGTTACGATCCAGTTAGAGTAACGATTACGAAAGTTTCTCATATTTTACGCTTCGTATCCATCAACTAGGTGAAACTTAATGGAAAACCAATCGGAGAGAGACGTTAGAATCGTTATGCGATGATCGTTTCTCTTTCATCGCGATTATATTAGTATAAGTTCGCATGATCGTTCGAATAACGGACGGATTAACATCGCTCCAAAGCTTTCTCATTGCATAATACGTTTCGCACGGTAGTTAGAGAGTCCTTCCTAGTTGTGATTCAAGTAGTTAGAAATCATTAGAAATTTTCAATTTCGATGGATCACATGACTTGCATCTACTTTCTAATTTTTTCAAAATCATTGTTTTTCTTTTTCTTTTCTTTTTCTTTTTTTTTTTTTTTTTTTTTTTGAAGATCTCCAAGGTATTCATATTCTCTTCTATAATCGACAACAATAATTATTTCTTTTTAAAATTAATTCAATTTTTTAATTAATTTCTAATTTTCTCTTCTTCTTTCTTTTTTAATATCGACGAAAACACGATAAGTGTCTCGTAGAAACGTTATGCTAACGTCGAGTTTAACGTTTCTCTCTGTTTTGGCGATGTGTAGTCATGGAAACGTTAAATTGATTTGTATCGTCCGGGTTAACCGCTCTTCTAACACACACGCATACACACACCGATATCCATTTGTTGTAGCTGTCTTATCCATGATAGGAACACATTGAAGAACAAAGAAGGGATAAGGTCCTTTATCTGATATATCTTCTAATCCATCTTTTTCTATCGATTCACAGACGATGAAAAAAAGCAATAACAATACGTCAGAAATAATACGTTTCTGACGTATACGGAAGAAAAGTCCCCAACGCGCAAATAAATTTCTAATCGATCTATAAGAAAAATAGGAGGAAGAAAAAAATGGACACGTTTTATCACAAGACATAAAAATTAACTTTTATTAGAAAATAAATAAAAGTGTTGCTGCAAAGAAAAAATGAAAATCGGGAGATAAGAAGAACGGTGGGTGTCGGGGGGTTGGAGTTTCGGGGGTTTGGAGGTGGTGTGGATAACAGGGATAGAGAAATATACAATGGCGTAATCGAATGTAATTGTGATGTCTTCTTCAATATCACATGCCGCACGAAATTTCGAGGTGCTGATAAAGAAAGATAGTTAAAAAAAAAAGTTGGGACAGGAAAGAGAGAATAGGGTTCTCTTGAAAAGGGATTTGAGGAAAATCGTGGATTTTTAAAGTTACTGCGCCTGTGTGAGTGGTTTGTATAAGTGTCGATCATATGTTTTAAAAAATGTGTCTGGGTAAATGTGTCTAATGCGTGTACGTTATGCGAGAGTGGACATTTTTTTAAGCATGATTGCCTGGTCTGAGGTCCTTGGGTGGTCCTAAAACTAAGCTCGATCCTGAGGGTGTCGTTTTATCCTTTATGATCCGAACCTTGTCCAGTCACGATCATCAGGATTCTCTTCGGACAAATATAATACTGTTTCGAGATTGAAGAATCTTCTTTCCTTTTCGTTGGAAGAAGGAAAATAAGAAGGAGAAGAAGAGGAAGAAGAAGAAGAATAACGGATCTTGTCTTCCGATGGTATTCTTAACGATTCCCTCGAAAGGGCCGAGCCTGTATGGGCCACCCTGGACCAGCTGATTCGTAGGTGGGACGCTTCGAAAGATCTTCGTCTACCAGGGATGATGAGCCACCGGCTTAGCAACGACTTTAACATCGGGTTCCGGAACGTATTGCTCAACTCCAACCAAATGAGGCTGACCGATGTGTACTCCGTGGTATGGTATTCTCACTGATTGAGAATGGGGTACCTTGATGTTAAGAGGCTGAGGATGAACTGGAGGAATAGGTGCCGGTTGAGGTACGTTGATCACGTGATGAACGGCAGGAGCATGGACCTAGACAAAATAGATATTTTAATTAATATCTTATATCTCTACGTTCTTAGATAAGAAATATAATTAGATACATGAACGTCTTGAATATTTCAGCATCTTCTTCGTATTTCATCTCAAAGAAGTGCGATCGTGCATAAAATTCCTCGTTGGAATAAAATCCAATTAGCTGGTACGATTAACAGCATCCAAAGTAGAGATTTCCTAATCAATCGATCATTACACCTGACGCTAATTAGATCCCCAAGAAACGATTGAGAAAGATGGAGAACAAAGATCATGATACTTAGAATGAGATTTCGTATCATTCTCGAAACCTTTTTCTCTTTCGTGTATGTCTTTTTTCTTTTTCTATAACTCATTCTTACATAGAATTATCTACGGTTACCTGTGCGTGTACCTGTGCGACTGGTACGGCGACCTTGATGTACTTTGGCACTGGCGCAGGCGCAGGCCATGCTGAAGCTTGCCACGGATCTGGCCAAGGTTGCGAGACGACCTGAGGT